ATTACCTTAAACACGTCAGATAATTTGGAGCTTTAAAAACGTGTAGTATTGAAAGCTTGTTAAATCCATATTTTAAAAATAAGTCATTTTCAATCCTTTGTTACTTTTTATATATTTATATATAAATATATAAATATTTATATATATTTTATATTCTCATACAAAACCACAAACCTAATACGTCTCTCGCAAATTTCGTAATACTTATGCTGCTTGTCTGTTTATTGAGAATGAACTCAGAAAAGAAAGGTTTATTCTTTAAAAAAGAAAAAAAAATATTTACCTTTGCCGAGCAGCTTGGCAGCTAAGACATTTTAACTGGAAGTTGTTAGCAAACTTCCTTGAGGTGGAGACAAGGGTTTAAATTTTTAACCTTAAGGAGTAATTTTTGGTTTATGAAAAAATTAATTAATTAATTAATTAATTAATTAAAAAATTAATACAGGAATTATTCAGAGTCTGCATTTTTTTCCCCTTTTCCTCTTTAAGCTAGGTCTGCTTTCATATAACTTTCAGCTAGTCTCAGGATTGGGATGATAATGGAGCCCACCCATTATGGCCTCATGTTACAACGGCTGTTAAGTGAAGCATCTCATCTAATGTCCCCTGAATTTGGATCATGTGACCCTAGAGGATAGTCAACTCCCAGAATTCCTGAGCCAGCCACACTGAGGGGAAAGGGAGAGGTTTCCAAGCTGAGCCAGGCTGGCTCAGGAATTCTGGGAGTTGAAGTCCACGAGTCAGAAAGCGGCCTAGGCCAGAGGTAGGCAACCCTGGCTCTTTTATGACTCATGGACTTCAACTCCCAGAATTCCTGAGCCCGCCACGCTGAGGGGAAAGGGAGAGGTTTCCAAGCTGAGCCAGGCTGGCTCAGGAATTCTGGGAGTTGAAGTCCACCAGTCATAAAAGAGCCAAGGTTGCCTACCTCTGGATATCACAAAGCAGTGTTATTGGAAGAACTGAGAGGAAATGCAGAGAGTGCAGGCCCCAGCTGCACAATTGTTTGATTCCAATCCTGATCTCATTTCTTTTTTTTTTTTGAAAAAAAAAAAAGCACTATCTTGTGTGCCCCTCATCTGACCGCCATAGATTTGATATTTCCATTATTTCCTGAATGTTACAGAGGGCAAATAAATGGCTCAGTTCTTACGCCTGGAAGATAATGCAGATTACTCTCCTGTTGTCCCTCTCAGCAGGTCTGTGCCATTATCACTTAATGAATTTTCAGAGAAGAGAACAGCAAGGAGAAGCTAAAAGCCAAGTGACCTGCTGGTTTGTGTGCAAACGGAAAAGATTTCATAATTAAAGGTAACGTAACCATAACCACAGCAGCGCAAGCAATTTATCTAAGAGGTAAGACGCAGAAATCCCACGTGCTCCGGACTGCTGGTTTTCAAACTTCTCTCTATGTGGTGTCTCTGGGTAAAACTATGTTACTTTCTGCTAAGGTCCTTGCAAGAAAAGAGAAAAGCTGTTAACACATAAGGGATCCCTAATTATTCTGGCAACCCCTTTTGACTGAATCCATCTATAAAAGCAGCAAAGGTGTTCGTTTTTTTCCCCCATTTTCATATCTTTAATGGAAGCAGGCAAGTAATAATAATAATAATAATGATAAAGTTGGAGGTCATCTAGTCCAACCCCCTGCTCAGGCAGGAAACCCTATACCAGTGGTTCTCAACCTGTGGGTCGGGACCCCATTTGGGGTCGAGTGACCATTTCACGGGGGTCGCCAAACCATGCTGTCCGCCATTTTTTTCCCTTTTCCCTAGCTGTCCTACTCCCTCTTATTGGTGGCCACACCCACTTGGGGGTCACCACAACATGGGGAACTGTATTATGGGGTCACGGCATTAGAAAGGTTGAGAATCACTGCCCTATACCATTTTGGACAAATGGCTGTCCAGTTTTTTCTTAAAAACTTCTAGTGTTGGAGCATTCACCGCTTCTGGAGGCAGATTGTTCCACTGGTTAATTGTTCTGTCAGGAAGTTTCTCCTTAGTTCTGGGTTGCTTCTCTCCTTGCTCAGTTTCCACCCGTTGCTTCTTGTCCTGCCTTCGGGTGCTTTGGAAAATAATTTGACTCCCTCTTCTTTGTGGCAGCCCCTGAGATACTGGAAGACTGCTATCATGTCCCCCTCGTCCTTCTCTTCGTTAAACTAAACATACCCAATTCCAGCAACCGTTCCTTATATGTTTTAGCCTCCGGTCCCCTAATCATCTTTGTTGCTCTTCTATGTATTCTTTCTAGAGTCTCAGTATCTTTTTTACATCGTGGTGACCAAAACTGGATGTAGTATTCCAAGTGTGGCTTTACCAAGTCCTTGTAAAGTGGTATTAACGCTTCACGTGATCTTGATTCTATCCCTCTGTTAATGCAGCCTAGCACTGTGTTGGTTTTTTTGGCAGCTGCAGCACACGGCTAGCTCATATTTAGGTGATTGTCTACTAGGACTCCGAGGTCCCTCTCACAGTTACTACTATTGAGCAAGGTACCCCCTATACTATACCTGTACATTTGGTTTTTCTTGCCTAAATGTAGAACCTTACTTTTTTCACCATTGAATTTAATTTTGTTAGATAGAGCCCAATGTTCAAGTCTGTCCAGATCCTCCTGTATCCTAAGCCTGTCTTTTGGACTGTTGGCTATTCCTGTCAGCTTGGTGTCGTCTGCATCTTAAGTCCCTGTATCTTAAGAGGAAAGATGCTTCTTGCAAAAAAAAAAAAAAATGATTTAGTAACTAGAAAGCAGAGGTAGTAGGCCCACGTCTCCTAGGAAACAACCCCTGGATTTGCTGTTATCTTCAAATAGGCTTATAAAATTGGAGTCTCCTGGTGGTTCATAAAGGGAGAGAGAGAGAGAGAGAAAGAGAGAGAGGGAGGGAGGGAGGGAGGGAGAGGGAGAGAGAGAGAGGGAGGGAGGGAGAGAGAGGGAGAGAGAGAGGGAGGGAGGGAGGGAGAGAGAGAGAGAGGGGGAGGGAGGGAGAGGGAGAGAGAGAGAGGGAGGGAGAGAGAGGGAGAGAGAGGGAGGGAGGGAGGGAGAGGGAGAGGGAGAGAGGGGGAGGGAGGGAGGGAGAGAGGGGGAGGGAGATACTCCCAGAATTGCTATTAAGATACTAACAGTTGATAAATTGGTTCTTTTTTTTTTCTTCTTCCCTCCATTGAGGACACCTTCAAAGCCCCTGTGGTGGCGTTTGGTAGGTGGTTAGGAAAGGCACACAACTGCCTTCGCTTTTAGAAGATATTAACGTATTTTAGGAAGCATGAACGTTCTTTTTGAGATCACCAGCACAGCTGGCAAGAGCGTGTGTGAATGTGCCCTGCAAATCTAATCATCTTGGAAGCCAGTTGAATTTCAGAAAAGGATTATTTAGTTAGGTGGCTTCCTGGAGAAGGATTCTCTATATGAGCAACTCTCCTTGTATCACTGGATGCTAGTCAACTTTCTTGAGCTGAATCGCCTATCTGAAAGAACTAAAGGTATTCTTTTAAAGAGCTTTGCGTTGTGTGTTTCATTCTTTATGTATTAATATCTGTATATATGAGATACACCAGGGGTCCCTAAACCTCTGGTCTGTAGACCAGTACTGGGCCACGGCATGCCAGCAACCAGTCCGCACAAACAAGCGATGCCCCATCCGTGGGATGCAGGCAGCACACAAAACCACGCACCCTCCGGTCCGTGGAAAAACCTCTCTCCACGGAACTGGTCCCTGGTGCCCAAAAGGCTGGGGACCTCTGAGATAACACAAGCGAGCCCAAAATTTCTGTTGCTGAGTTAAGACCGTTGTTAGGTGAGTTTTGCCCCATTTTACCACCTTCCCTGGCCACGGTTGTTAAGTGAATCACTGCAGTTGTTAAGTTAGTAAGTGACTCTGTCTTCCCCACTGATTTTGCTTGTCAGAAGAGCGTGAAATGCGATCACGTGACCCTGGGACACTGCAACGCCAGTTGCCAAGCGGATGAATTTTGATCGTGTGACTTTAGGGGTGGTGTTGCAATGATCAACGCAATGTAAGTGTGAAAAATGGTGATGTCACTTTTTTCAGTGCGGTCGTAACTTCGAACAGTCATTAAACGAATGGTTGTAAGTCAAGGACTGTGTGTGTGTGTGTATCTCTATCTATCCATCTATCTATCTATCTATCTATCTATCTATCTATCTATCTATCTATCTATCTTTATCTATTTATATCAGTGTTTCTCAACCTTGACAATTTTAAGGCATGTGGACTTCAACTCCCAGAATTCCACAGCCAGCATTGCTGGCTGTGGAATTCTGGGAGTTGAAGTCCACATGCCTTAAAATTGTCAAGGTTGAGAAACACTGATCTATATCTATATATCTATAAAATCTATCTATCTATCTATCTATCTATCTATCTATCTATCTATCTATCTATCTATCTATCTACCTATCTATCTACCTATCTATAAAATCTATCTATCTATCTATCTATCTATCTATCTATCTATCTATCTATCTATCTATCTATCTATCTCTATCTATCTCTATCTCTATCTCTATCTATCTATCTATCTATATCTCTATCTAGCTATCTAGCTATCTATCTATATCTATATATCTATCTATCTATATCTATATAATCTATCTATCTCTATCTATCTATAAAATCTATCTATCTATAAAATCTATCTCTATATCTATCTATCTATCTATCTATATCTATATATCTATATCTATCTATCTATCTCTCTATTGCTTTCTTTCCCATCCATCTCTGCATATCCCTCTCTCTCCCAATCTTCAGAAAAGCAGTTCTTGATTATTTGTTTCTTCTAAATTCTGCATCTGCCCAAAAGCTGCTCAGACTTGTGAATTCTACAAGTGGGGATTGCAGTATGTTGGTTTTCTGTTAGAGAAACTCTTAAAAGAGCCTCGTGGTACAGCCAAGGTATGCTTTGTGTGTGGATTGAACTCTTCCTTTGGCAGACGAGCACAGCTAAATCTTTCCAGTAAGAAGCAATTCATTTAAAACCGATGTTTATTTTAGTGAAGTGGTGGCGCTTTAGAACACAATTTGAAAAACACATTTCTTTAAGGCTCAAGGTCTTCCAGATTGAGAACATCCATGGAGTCTGCTAAAATATCCAGTAACGTGCTTCAAAGAGGACAAAGGCATTACACAGCAACCTGCTCAGCCCTCTTTTTCTTCAACAACACTTAGTATCTCTCTCTTTGCCTAACCGATGAGATGATACTAGCAATACTTGTCCTTTAAATTAGCTTTTTTCAACCTCAGACTAACCCACAGGGATAGGGCAAAACTGAAGGCAGGAATGGGTAGGAAAGTACCTATCTTAGCACAGCAGTTTTGTTCAAACAGTAAAAATAAAACAAGCTATCATTCCTGAGTTGCAGGCAACATACTGTAGCTACAAAGAAAATGACAGCAAATTTCAAATCTCTTAAATCAGAAGATGTTCAATATAAAAGCAAGAATTGGTGAATTAAGTCCCTGTTTAAACGAGGGCTGAAATATAACTATTCAGAAGCATTCTTAAAACTCCCAATTTCCGATGCAGAAATTTATATTCTTCATTTCTAATATAGCTTCTGATAGTATTAGAGTTTACAATAAAATGGAAACCCATTGGTCCAATCCCTCAATCTCTGATCCAATTTATTTACAGTGGGAAAACTGCTTCTTGACCTATGAATAAATAACAGGATGAAGTGTGCCCGCTTCTCTGCCTTTTTGTATGCTCAATTATAGATTAACCAGGAAACTATGTTTAAAGATTGCTTAAAAGCAAAACAGCAAATGAACTCTGGGTGAGGCTTTTCAGCTATAATTTTATGGTGCAGAACATCATTTAAAAATGAGGATTGACTCCTTCCTTCCTTCTGTTCCCAGCTCAGCTGAAGAGGACAAATGCTTCAGCTTGTCAACCAATTTTGGCCTAGAGGACTCATTATGACAGAACTGGACCACTGTGCATTGGTTTTAGGAAGGAAAGGACAAAATACAAATGAATTAAGTATTGTTTTCACAGAGACATTTACATTAAACTACGTTAACAAAACTGAAAGATACAGGAAGATATATTTAGTCAAGGGAGGGAGAAAACAGCCAGAAGATAAAAGCTGCTAAACCGGACTGGCAATATTATATATGTTGTTTTAATCGTTGTTATTATAATTGCTTAATTCCCCACTGTTTTGTGACATATGTATTTAAGTATCCTTCAATCTGTGTAATGAAACAAGAGCTGGAAAATATGTATGCCGGAAGAAACAATTCATTTAAGCTCTGTTCTTGACTGCACTGCCAATGAATATGTATGTTCGGCTGCATTTTTTCCTCCCTTTTTTTATTTGTTAGACTGAGCTAGGCTGACCTCGCCACTGTGAAACAATCTGCTTCAGGAGACAAAATTCTTAATCAACAAAGCCTTTCTATTTGTTGGCTGGAGGACTGCACTTTCCGCTGGAGCGGTCTGCCCTCCAGTGGTCTCTACCTTGCTAGTCGAAGTCACAATTTCAGCACTGTGGGTGAAGCTCCTTTTTACAGCTGCAGCCCTGGATGATGTCACACTGCACAGCTGCATTGCATTTTTCTACAGGCTCAGCACATGCATCTGTTTGAGACGAAGCATCATGCTTCCCCTTATCATTCCTGTCGAACAACTGCAGTTTAGCTCTGTGCAACCTATTCTTTTTTGGAGCGATGGCAGGTTTTGCCTGGGGTTGAATATTAGCTGTATTCCGGGGCCTGCCATCAAATAGGCAAACATACTCTGATCTTTGACGTCCTGATCCCGAGTAGGGATCGTTGGAAGTCCTTGAAAAAGAGTCTTCAGAATCAGATGATGCTTCTTCATTCCACTCCTCTGCTTTAGACTGTTGAAATAAATCTGAGTCAGTGTAATTCTTTGACAGAGGCCCATAAATCACCGTGATTGTTAATGAGTCCTTTTTATTGTTCGTATGACCTTTTCAAAATATATATAAATGATAATATAATGGAAGAGAACCTCATAATGGAAGAGAAATGATAATATAATGGAAGAGAACCATTCCAGCTTCAAAGCACTGCCGATAGCTTTGCTTTCCATCAATCCATTAAATTAGCTAGAATTAAATATCCATGATGCTATCAGCTCTTCTACTTTCATGTGTATGATGGATTCTCGAGAGGGCTTCTATGCATTAAAATAATTTGCAGAAGGATTCAGAGCCCGCAGTGCCCAAGTACTTGAACCACTAACTTGTATACAGTAGTGGCCAAAATTGTGGAAACCTTTTGGGAAAAGTGTACAGTAGAAATGCCACCTTTGGTTAAGTTTCCACCCATTTTTCTTCTAATTTCTTTGTAACTGTAGCCTTGTTCACTTAATAATACTATTTTACATCGCTTTCTGGGCGACTAATTGACTCTTTGCACCATGACTTTAATTTTATTATGTTTTACAAGCCCACTAAATGAAAGGACACAAAAAAAACCAACCAACTTGATAGCGATCACATAACACACTGACAAATGTCCTCCTCTCAGCTTCAATACATGACATCAATCATTGAATCCTCCTGTGATCTGATTGGCTCATTGCCAAAACAAGATGACACCCGATTGACTCTCTAAACACTCGTGCTCATTGGCTACAATCGGATGAAGGAAAGCTACCTAAGATCAACCTAAGCAACCTTTTTCTGGTTATTTGGCTATAGCTTTTCGTAGAATAGAATACAGATAATTGAACAAACTTTGTTGCATGACACTCTTGATTAAATTATCTTTCCGTTGATACATAATTTTATGGTACTACTCCAAAAGAAAGTAGTGTTATTAGCCATCAAACCTCAAAAATATACTTTTCCCAAAAGCTTTCCACAATTTTGGCCACTACTGTAACTTGAAGGGTGCCTTGTCCTTACCTCATCAGATGAAGAACTGGTATGTCTATCTGCTTGCTTTGGAGAATAAGTGGGTGACTGGCTGGTCAACTGGGAATCGTCATCTGAAGGACAACAAAACTCTTCAGTTTGTATGGAGAAACTCTAAATTGTTCACTATACTTACAGCCGCAATCGAGCACAAAATGGCTAAGCAAGGCGGTTGTGAAGGGAGGCGTGCCCCATTTTGCAACCTTTTCACCATGGTTGTTAAGCGAATCACTGCAGGGAAATGTTAAATGAATCCAGCTCCCCCCACATTAACTCTGCTTGATCAAACTTTTGCCTTTGTTATTCAAAACTGCTGATCAGAAAGTTATTTTTGCCCAATATAGATCAGGGGTCTTCGAACTTGGCCCTTTTATGACTTGTGGACTTCAACTCCCAGAATTCCTCAGCCAAGCATGCTGGCTGAGGAATTCTGGGAGTTGAAGTCCACAAGTCATAAAAGGGCCAAGTTTGAAGATCCCCTGATATAGATAAAACCAACCATCCCTGTTGTGATTGGGTAATGGGTTCGGATGTTGTCATCCCAAGAAAAATCACTTTTACCCAATTTTGGATAATTTACTCAGTTTGGGAGGTATTCTTTAAGATGACTAAGAAATACGTTACAATTCATGTTAGACTTTTTCCATTCTCGACAAGGACATTAAGGCCAAAGAACAGAGGGCGTCTTTTTTTCTCCATCGTTAAGTGTGAAACCGTTCCAGACAACGAAGAGCCTAGATGAGAAGGCAGCTATTAATGAATGTCAAAGGAAAACTCACCATTTTGCCTGCTTTGCTTCCAATGCTGATCAAAGTCACTGTAAATGTCCTTATCCAGCTTTACAAAAAATTTTAAAAAATGACATTAGTATCCTTTTTTTTTTTTTTTTGCTGCAACTGTTTTTCTTTATCTGCTCTTTCAGGTCTTGGCATCGTGTTATTAGGAACTTGCTCAAGAAGGTTCTGTTGTTGACAACAAAACATGGAAAAAAAGGAGGTTAAAACATACAAGAAACGGTTGCTGGAATTGGGTATGTCTAGTTTAATGAAGAGAAGGATCAGGCGGTGACATGATAGCAGTATTCCAGTATGAGGGGCCGCCCCAAAAAAGAGGGAGCCAAGCTATTCTCCAAAGCGCCTGAAGGCAGGATAAGAAGCAACGGATGGAAACTAATCAAGGAGAGAAGCAACCTAGAACTAAGGAGGAATTTCCTGACCGTTAGAACAATTAACCAGTGGAACAACCTGCCTCCAGAAGCGGTGGATGCTCCAACATTGGAAGTTTTTAAGAAGAGACTAGACAGCCATTTGTCTGAAATGGTATAGGGTTTCCTGCCTGAGCAGGGGGCTGGACTAGATGACCTCCAAGGTCCCTTCCAACTTTACTATTATCATTATTAAATTATTTTCTTATACCAAGGAAAGAATGCTGTTTCTCAGCGAATTGGTTCCAGTGCCTCAACTTACGACTACAATTAAGCTCAAAGTTTCTCTTGCTAAGGGAGACAGTTGTTAAGGGAATTTTGCCCCATTGCATGACTTTGCTTGCCCCATTTGTTAAGTGGATCGCTGCAGTTGTTAAACTCCCGTTGTTAAGTGGATCTGGCTTCCGCCATTGACTTTGCTAGTCAGAAGATCGGAAAAGGTGATCACGTGATCCTGCAACGGTCATAAATACATACCAGTTGCCGAGGGTCTGAATTCTGATCACCTAATCACGGGGAGGCTGCAAGGGTAGTAAGTATGAAAAACGGTCATAAGCCACTTTTTTCAGTGCTGTTGTTAAGGTTGAATAGTCATTAAACGAATGGTTATAAGTCAAGGACTACCTGTATACCTCTTATAATAATAATAATAAAGTTGGAAGGGACCTTGGAGGTCATCTAGTCCAACCCCCACTCAAGCAGGAAACCCTATACCATTTCAGACAAATGGCTGACCAGTCTCTTCTTAAAAACTTCCAGTGTTGGAGCATTCACCGCTTCTGGAAGCAGATTGTTCCACTGGTTAATTGTTCTCACTGTCAGGAAGTTTCTCCTTAGTTCTAGGTTGCTTCTCTCCTTGATTAGTTTCCATCCATTGCTTCTTGTCCTGCCTTCAGGTGCTTTGGAGAATAGCTTGACTCCCTCTTCTTTGGGGCAGCCCCTGAGATACTAGAACACAGCTATCCTGTCCCCCCTCGTCCTTCTCTTCATTAAACAAGACATACCCAATTCCAGCAACCGCTCCTTATATGTTTTAGCCTCCCGTCCTCTAATCAAGAATACATTTGCAAGAATACATTTCCTGATGTCTTCACTAATGTAATTACACAATTGTTCCATTAAGGGAACTCACGTTTCTTTCCTACTGGCCCTAGGGTTAAAGCCTCACGGAAGAAAATGGGTACTTGCGATAGCCCCATCTGGTTAGAAAGGAACAGCAAATGTGTCTTTTATGCTCATTGTGCAAATGATCTTTCAGCATGCCAAGGGCAGATTGTCTGACATCTGCTATGTAGCTGCTGACTGCTGGTATACTCTGCACGCAAATCAACTTGAGAGGTCATTTGTTTTGTGCCACTCAGCCTTGTTTCCTCTGGCAAGCTAACCAAACGTAAAATGAAAACAAAAGGTAAAAAAGAACTTGAGAGAGTACAGAGAAGAGCAACAAAAATAATAAGGGTGGTTTTTTTTTAATAAAAAAAATATCCTTTAAAATAAGAACCATTATCTTGAAAACAATTACAAACAGCGACGAAAATCCGCCAGGCAACTTTGTTTGAACAGCTTATGTAAAAACTTTACCATTTTGTGCTCGAAAATCTTCAAATAATCCATACTGGGATCGGGCCGGCCTTTCTTCCTGCTGGAAAATACAGTGAGAAAGAATAAAGCAGAGTTATTCCCCAAGTTAAAATAATCAATATTATGGTACTCTCTAGTTTAGGAAGTACATTATGTAAGGCTAATTCAATCATTGTTCTTAGCAAGTTCATCTCGTAAGCATTCGCTAAATAGCTGACATCTTTTAGAACTAGGAAAAATCTAACGATGGGAGCTTATTCTAACATGTAGGCAGAATACTCTACAATACGAAATATAACACAACAAACATAACAGTAATTTTGAGATAAATATCTAGGCCCTGATCTAATACACAGAAAAGTATTTGCTTGCAACGGTCAAATCCCTTCTCATTTCTTAACGCTCAAAGCACTGCTGTCAGTTTTCATCCTGGATGAAAGAAGGGTGGAGAATTGTTACACCGGAAGACCCAGTGTTGTCCTTATTAATTAATATCATCCAAGCCCCTCCATGGGTTCTAACCTGTTAGGGCACATCTTCCACGCTAACTGCACAATGACGGTAAAGTTGCCTTAGACAACTAAATCACTCGGCACTGAAGTGTGCAGTTTTCTTGCATAGCAGGTGCCACCACAGATAGTCTCAGCTCGTGCCATTATTTGTTCGTTTGTTATTTCTTTGCATTCCGCCTTTCTTGTTTTTACAAATAATTCGAAGTGTGAACGCATCCAATACTCTTCCCTCTATTTTCCTCACAACAACCCTGTGATTGGCTTGAGAGCCAGTGACTGGCTCAAAGACTCACCATCCCTTGGTGATTGGCTCAAAATCACCCAGCTGGCTTTCCTGCCTAAGGCAGAACTAGAACTCAGAATCTCTAGGCCAGCCCCTTAACCGCACGACCAAGCTGGCTCTCTATATAATAAGCAAGTTGATAAGTGTCAATTGTGAAATGCTTGCTGATCACTTTGGCTGTAGCTAGTCAAAGCTAGTCGCTTAGTCTATGACAGTGGTTCTCAACCCCATAATACAGTTCCCCATGTTGTGGTGACCCCCAACCACTTATACATCACCGGGTGCCAGGGGCCTGGCCAAAGAAAAGGGGGAGAAAAATGGCGGACAGCCTTGTTTGGCGACCCCCGTGAAATGACCGTTCGACCCCAAATGGGGTCCCGACCCACAGGTTGAGAACCACTGGTCTATGAGAATAAAGACTAAGCTATAGTAGTTCAGCACTGGTTTAAAATTTATCCTCGGCTGGGAAAAAAGGAACAATAATATTGGAAGACAGAAAGTCTCTGTGTGGGGGAATCTTAGAGCTGCTTCCTGGTCATCTGTGATTGATCATGTTTCTCCTATATTCATCTTATAAGAATGCTTTCTCACAAACTATGCGAAAAATCCTACTATAATAGCATTCTATATGTGAACGAAACTCTTTTTTTTTTAAAAAAAGAGCTCACCTGTTCTTTAAGTCATTCTTTATGGTTTTTGGTGCTTTGGTGTATTTCTTTTGGTTTTTAAAACCTCCTGCAAAACAAAATAAAAAATATCTTAAAAATAAGCTCACACGACAACGTTAAGAAAGAGAGGATGGGTCATAAATCAGCGGTGTGTTTTTCCTCCTTCAGCAATGTCCTCATGAATTTCACTTACTCATAGGTTCAGTACCCTACTACTCAAACGAAAAGGGAGCCTTCCCTAATAACAGAAGCATTCGTTTTTATGATCAGTTGTAGATCAAAACGTATCTTAGTCATTGAATTGAATATGCAGTTAATTAATCAGATGGTCACTTCATAATAAGGCTAGGTTATGCTTAATTCTGCTTTCAAATCTGCCAAACACTATATGTACACCAATATTATTGGAGAGCAACTGTCCCAGTCAGGAGGAGGAATCAAATGGGGAATCAACATGGACTCATTATGTAAACACAAGAGGGCAAGGTCCCCTTTAAATGCCTTTGAGCTTTATCTGGTCTCTCCTCAGATGAATCTGCCAATCTGGGAAGATTTCTGTATTATAGGCTGAGAACAATAAAGTAGCTACTTTGAACTCTCAACTTGTGGGTCTGGTGGTTTGTGCCTGACAGATATAGTCAAAACATTTTAAAGGTCGGTTCCTCCAACACCACGTGGAGAAGAATGAGAACCAAGTCATAAAAGGGACGGTTTGGTTCTCGTTCTGTAAAGGTTTCATGGAACAAGCAGCCTGTTCTTTTGGGCTACAGAAAGAGATTCATTTCTTCAGGCCGAATCTTCCGGTCCAACCACAACTGCATTCTCTCTTTTCCCTGGTTAATCGTGGTTGTCATTTACACATTTGGGAAATCATCTGCAAGAGACAATATTGACCCTTTGTTTAGGGGTATTTTTTGAACGCAGTAATTGTACATGAGTGCAGTGATGCTCCATATAGCCCAGCAAGACATCCCTGCAATGTGTGTAACCTCTTTTCCCACCCACATCAAACGCCTGCCTTAATAAAATGTTTAAAAAATGTTAATCAAATTGTGCAACCCCTTAAAACAGGGGTGTCAAACTCAATTTCATTGAGGGCCGCATCAGCATTGCGGTTGCCCTCGGGGGGCCGAGTGGGTGTGACCAGGGTGGGTGCAGCCTACTGGGTGGGCGTGGATGGAGTGGGTGTGGCCTACTGGGTGGGCATGGCCAGCTCTAAATCGTCCGCGTCAAGGGTGCCTGTGGGGGCCCGGGCAGGAGTGGGACAGATCTGGGGGTCTCTGGCAGAAGGGCATGGGATCGGGGCAAGCGCCAAGGCATGATCCATTTCTTCATTCCTCACAAAGGGTGACACTTCCCAGCATGCACCCGGGGGGGCAGGGCTGACACAGCAGGGGCTAGTTCCCTCACTGTTTCCAGGATGGCTTCGCGGGCTACATGAAACCACTTCGCGGGCCGCATCCGGCCCCCCGGGGCCTTGTGTTTGACATGTCTGCCTTCAAACATAAAGCCTCCTCATTACATTTGCTACTTGCATTGCAGACGTTTACCTATATTATCGAAGAACATAGTAAGTTGTTGTTGATCAGAAAACTCCTCAGGGTCTCTTTTCTGGATACTGCAGTGATTGGACTGATTCCAAACTGGATTCTGGTTTATCGCATTTAAGCTTTGGTTATCAAGGGAGCAAATCATCGCTGGAGCTGTGAGGATGCTGGTGAGGTCCCGCTCAGCTGCATAGCGGGGACCCGTCCTCTGATGCATTTCTTCACCATCATACAGGCTGGGCCTACTGAATATTTCTTTTGCATCGCCAAGATCTGTGAATAGCGGCTCGATATGGCTTTGGTTAGCAAAAGAACAGTAAGATTGAGAGGGCGGAAGTGCCGGAAACTGACTGCCCTCTTCAAACAAACTTGCAATTGGCTGAAAGCTGGTATCTTGGCTAGTCTTTATCAGATCATTTACAGGACCAAACAATGATTCTTCTCCGTTAGCTTGACTGTTTCCAAAATCCTTATCAATGGAGTTACCGTATCCTGGACTTGGGGGGGGGGGGCGGGGAGGGAAGGTAAAATGTGAATTGCTGGTATGGTACAGACAGTATCAATGTGTAAGGTTTTAAAATGTATTTTTACTTAATACGAAAGATGGACTTCTTGCTCACAAAGTCCATCTTTCGTATGAAGTGAAAATTGTTTGACATTGTTCTGAGGTTTAGAATACTGCAATAATTATAATATAGGTTTTTATTCTTAAAACAAAACCCGGAAATCTGATTCTTCCGTATATCATTTGCAATATATTGTTCAATAACTGTGACTCACCAGTCTAACCACTGTATGTCACTGTGGCTCCATTATTGTCAAGAAAAGAGGGTTAGGAAATGTCACAGGAAATGATGTCAGAGCATAAAATACCCACGGCATCATCTAAGAATTTTGAAATGTTCTGATTTGGACCATCACACATGCTACACCTAATATTTTAAACAAATCAAATAGAACCCACAATACTGTATTTAATCAGTCATTCGTTTTTCTGAATGTGTACATTCAGATAAAAAGAACTACTGCACTCTTGTCACACTTGATAATATTCTCTTTAATTTGGCTATTCCTGAGGTAGTGCTTAAATATAGTTAGCTTTATGTATTTAAGCCCATTTGTAAACAGTGAAATTTACATGATAGCAGTATTCCAATATCTCAGGGGCTGCCCCAAAGAAGAGGGAGTCAAGCTATTCTCCAAAGCACCTGAAGGCAGGACAAGAAGCAACGGGTGGAAACTAATCAAGGAGAGAAGCAACCTAGAACTAAGGAGAAACTTCCTGACAGTGAGAACAATTAATCAGTGAAACAGCTTGCCTCCAGAAGCAGTAAATGCTCCAACACTGGAAGTTTTTAAGAAGAGACTGGATAGCCATTTGTCCGAAATGGTGTAGGGTTTCCTGCCTGAGCAGGGGGTTGGACTAGGTGACCTCCAAGGTCCCTTCCAACTTTACTACTATTATTATAAATGAGCAAGAAAGCATAAGATAAGCACAATTTTGATTACTACATTGTGCATCTGCTTCAGTTTTATTTTCAACAAAACAAGTCATTTTGGGGGGACTAAAGAGAATAAGAATAAATATAAGAGAATAAAATAAAATAAAATAAATATAATGAGAATAAATATAAGAGCCGAGGTGGCGCAGCAGTTAGGGTGCAGTACTGCAGGCCACTTTAGCTGACTGTGTTCAGCAGGTCAGCGGTTCAAATCTCACCGGCTCAAGGTTGACTCAGCCTTCCATCCTTCCGGGGTAGGTAAAATGAGGACCCAGATTGTTGGGGGGCAATGTAAATATATATATACATTGCTTACTGGTGTACACCGCTTAGAGAGTGCTTGCACTTAAAGCGGTATATAAGTCTCATAAATAAATAATAAAAACAACAGGAGAACTGAGGAGAACTACAGTGAGATAGGTATACTGTATAGGCATTGATCTGTTTCCTGCACGTAATCTCAAACAATAGCACAAGATTTCAAAGATATAATTTTATATATATACGGTACATACATAAAGAGCGTCCACAAAAGAGACCGACAAACAAGATGGATCGACAATATCAGCAAATATTGTGGGCCCAATTGACAAAAGAAAGCTCAGGACCATATTGGTTGGAAATATGAGGAAGATGCCTTTATCCCTCAGTGGACAGACCATAGCTAAGATGATAATTTATTTATTTATGAGGCTTATATACTGCTTTAAGTGCAAGCACTCTCTAAGCGGTGTACACCAGTAAGCAATGTATATATATATTTTACATTGCCCCCAACAATCTGGGTCCTCATTTTACCTGCCTCGGAAGGATGGAAGGCTGAGTCAACCTTGAGCCGGTGAGATTTGAACCGCTGACCTGCTGAACACAGTCAGCTAAAGTGGCCTGCAGTACTGCACTCGAACTGCTGCGCCACCTCGGCTCACGATGACGATATAATAAATGAAATAATAAATGATTAACCTCCAGTTCTCATAAGAAATTACCAGTTCATTAAAAATTCACATGGAAAAATCACTATTACAAAGAATTCCCCCCCCCCACACACACACAAAGATAATGACACATTTAAAAGCACTGTAATACAATCAACAAATAATCTATCTTTACCTATTCAGCTGCTGGAAATACAGACCCACTGGTGCCTCTGGATCTGGGGCACTGAATTCTTCTGGCCTGTAGGCTGTTGTAGAAAGCCAAAAGTCTTCCTCTTTGTTCTTTATTGTTCGAGTAGATCCCAAATCCTGTCAATACATTAGAAGAAGCCTTCAGGTTAGGCATCTTCTAGGAAATCTGTTCATTTTATCAACTTAACTTCAATGATAGGAATACATTTTTTTTTTCTTTAGAGAAGAACCGGCAAACTGAAACCGTTTGTTCTTTTACTTCGTGGAATTGTCTAGTAATGTGCATTTATTTGCTTCACGATGCCTGTATTTTATTGGTTTTTTTCCCCCTTTTGTTATGCTGATGGATTTATATATCATTTTAATATTGTTTTGGGAAGGGTGATTGACTAGAGCAGTGGTTCTCAACCTTTTTAATGCCGCGACCCCCAACCGGTCGTAAGTCGAGGACTATTCAACCGGTGCAGCACCATTTGCAGAATGGGACTTTTGGCGGGCTCAGCAGGGCAGAGACAGCCTGGATAATTCCTATTGGCTTTGGAAAGCCAACAGAATTAGACTCTATTCAAGAGAGTCTATTCTATTGGCTTTCAAAAGCCAATAGAATAAAAGGGAGTAGCACAGCTAAGGAAAAGGGGGAAAAAATGGCGGACTGCGTTGTTTGGCGACCCCCGTGAAATGGTCGTTCGACCCCAAATGGGGTCCCCACCCACAGGTGGAGAACCACTGCATTAGAAGAAGCCTTCACGACAGGTTAGGCATCTTCTAAGAAATTTGTTCATTTTATAAACTTAACTTCAATGATAGGAATACATTTTTTTTTCTTTAGAGAAGAACTGGCAAACTGAAACCGTTTGTTCTTTTACTTCGTGGAGTTGTCTAGTAATGTGCATTTATTTGCTTCACGATGCCTGTATTTTATTGGTTTTTTCCCCCTTTTGTTATGCTGATGGATTTATATATCATTTTAATATTGTTTTGGGAAGGATGATTGACTAGAGCTATACAATGAAGTCGAGGCTTATTGTTGGTCTTCTACTCTACAAGCCGACATTAGAATTGTTCTAAAATTCATTCCATAAATACAACCCACAGTGTTACATCTGACAGAGAGATAACAAGTGATAAATCTACTTTCCTGAAAAAAACCTTACTTCAGAATGAACACTGGCTTTTTCATAGTGGTATTTTCTTCTGCTGTCTAAGATTTCTTCTTGTATCCTATGAAGAAAACAATTTACAAAGCAAAGCAAGTCATTGGTATATTTAAAAAAAACAACATACGATTCGTGCATTTTCAGGTAGAAGCAAACTGGATTGGAAACAAAGTTAAAGAAATTCACTGCTATAGGATAATCCTATGCAGACCTACCTAGGTTTAGGTCCTGGTGCCTCCAATTTTAAATAAATGTGCATAAATTTCTGCTAATAGTTAACAAATCTAATTGCGCATTAAATCTCGTACAATAGGAAGAGTCTTGGGGTAACTTCAAGACTAACCACCAGGTTGTGGCGAGTGGGTCACCAAAATAAGATACTGCATACATTGCTTGAATATAGAAAGGAAACAGCATTTAATGCATGAAACAAAAATCTTATCAGTGTAAAGTGAGCAAGTTATCCTTTTATTTTTTTTATAAACAAGTTTTATTGGTTTTTCTAACTTTTACATCAAAGTGCTAGAGAAATACCGTGGTGATGGGGTAATCAATCATCCAAAGACAAAGTCATATGTGTATATATATATATATATATATATATATATATATATATATATATATATATATATAAAACTCAAATTAATTCATTAAATGTTCCCTCTCTGTTTCCCTCAAATAGTATAACATATTTAGGTTAATCCATTTCTACATGACATCTATATAGATCCAAATCCTGTTTTTAAGCTTTACTGATTTAGAATTACCATAATCCAATTTAATCTTGAATAAACATATTATTAGCACTTCGGGTACCCCTTCTAAAATACACATAATATTCCAACAATAACATTCTAATATTTCCAGATATATTCTATTTCTTAGTCTAATAAGTCGTTGATTAGTACCAATTTTTCTCTTATCACAAATCTCTCTTATTTCTTCTTCTACTACAAAATAGTTGTCCTAGTTAAGATAAAAAATATTACTCTATTCCAGTGGTGGCGAACCTATGGCACGGGTGCCAAACGTGGCACTCAGAGCCCTCTCTGTGGGCACGTGCATTGTCGCCCCAGTCCTAGGCCTTCAGCTGGGTTTTATAAAACCTTTTTGCTTTAGGCCTCCGCTGCCATGTGCAAAAAAAAAGAAAGAAAAAGGTTCGATCAGTCAGTTTCAACTTCTCGCGGGAAAAAAAAAGATCTCGCAAAGTTGGAATGGATGAATAGAGCCGAGGTGGCGCAGCAGTTAGAGTGCAGTACTGCAGGCCACTTTAGCTGACTGTGTTCAGCAGGTCAGCGGTTCAAATCTCACCGGCTCAAGGTTGACTCAGCCTTCCATCCTTCCGGGGTAGGTAAATTGAGGACCCAGATTGTTGGGGGCAATGTAAATATATATATATATATATATATATATATATATATATATATATATATATATATATATATATATAGTCTTTGGTTGTTCGGGTTTTCTCCCGCGTAAAATTGGAAGTGTCTTGGCGACGTTTCGACGAAGTCCCATTCGTCATCTTCAGGCTGGTGTTTTCAGCTTCGTGCTTCGAGCAGCAAAGCAAAGCACGAAGCTGAAAACACCAGCCTGAAGATGACGAATGGGACTTCGTCGAAACGTCGCCAAGACACTTCCAATTTTACGCGGGAGAAAACCCGAACAACCAAAGACCTACATACAAACACCCGCGAAAACCTCAGAAAACATATATATATATATATATATATATATATATATATATATATATGTAAATAAATAAACAAATAGATTGATTGAACTTTTTAGTCCCACCCAGTCTGCCGTTACCACCGCAGCCACGCCCACCCAATGGGCCACACCCACCCAGCACCCGACGATGCATAAGTGGGTTTTGGGTTGCAGTTTGGGCACTCGGTCTCTAAAAGTTTCGCCATCACTGCTCTATTCTATTTTGTATATATAATCTATCAGTTATCCTTTTATTATATTATGTAAATACAGGTCATCCTTGACTCACAACCTTTCATTCCGCGACCGTTCAAAGTTACCATGCCACTGAAAAAACTGAGTTATGATCGTTCTTCACACTTATGACTGTAGCAGCCTCCCCATGGTCACATGATCAAAATTTGGACACTTGGCAACTGGCTCATACTTACGACAGTCACTAGGTCCCAGGGTCATGTGATTCCCCCTTTGCAACCTTCTGACGTGCAAAGTCAATAAGGGAAGCCTACAACCGCCTGTTAACTGCAGTGATTCATTTCATAATTGTGGCCAGAAAGGTTGCAAATGGGGCAAACCTCACAATAACTGTTTCGCTTAGCAGTGGAAATTGCTACAGGATTACCTGTAACCTAAATCTGGGACGGTTGAGGACGATGTCAGCAAATTATATGCAAATATTTAATAATGTATTTAATTTTCCATAAGGAGAAATGAGGTTCTGAGCTGCAGTCGCAAGTTTTCATTTAACAGTCGACAGCAATTTGATGCCCTGTAATCTATATTCTCATGAGTTTAGGAACACGGAAATATCTTGAGAGTTTAACGAAGAGTACATCTTATGGATATTAACAGCCTAAGGTTTCATTATATTTTATCGCTTTTTATATGCTCACATCCATTTTAACGAGCCGAGGTGGCGCAGCAGTTAGAGTGCAGTACTGCAGGCCACTTTAGCTGACTGTGTTCAGCAGGTCAGCGGTTCAAATCTCACCAGCTCAAGGTTGACTCAGCCTTCCATCCTTCCGGGGTAGTAAAATGAGGACCCAGATTGTTGGGGGCAATGTAAATATATATATACATTGCTTACTGGTGTACACCGCTTAGAGAGTGCTTGCACTTAAAGCGGTATATAAGTCTCATAAATAAATAAATAAATAAATAAACGCAAGGCAATCCTTGCAAAAAGGAAACGATCTGGAAATCTTAGTACTTTAAGCATATGATTGGCAGTGACGGTTATCTGAAAAAAATTGCACTGGAAAAGGCAGCGCATGAAAGAAACGAAAGCATTTTGCTAAGATGTAAAAAGATAATTGACATTTTATATACCTATGCTGGATGTCATCAAGGGAGAGCTTAGTTGGTCTGCATTCTGGTGACTTGGGAAATTCTACATTTTGCTTTCTCAAAGGAATTTTAGTTTCTCTGTTAATATCTACATGAATGGGCTTTCGAATATTCTCTGTAATTAAAATAAAGATGATTAAAATAAAGATTACGGTGAATTAAACAGGAACACAATATATACCTATCTCTATCTCTATATTTATATCTCTATATTTCTTCCTCTATATTTATGTCTCTGTGTCTCTATATCTATAATCTCTATAGCTCTATATCTATAGTAAATCTATATATCTATGTATATATCTATATATCTATAAGGGGGCAGAACCTGGCCAGTTTTTCAGATTCAGATCCAAATAGGTATTAAGGCAGTGGTTCTCAACCTGTGGGTCGGGACCCCATTTGGGGTCGAATGACCATTTCACGGGGGTCGCCAAACCACGCTATCCGCCACTTTTTTCCCTTTTCCCTAGCTGTCCTACTCCCTCTTATTGGTGGCCACACCCACTTGGGGGTCACCACAACATGGGGAACTATATTATGGGGTCACGGCATTAGAAAGGTTGAGAACCACTGTATTAAGGGATGCCTAGAAATGCAAACAGCACCTGGCCCTAACCTTTAAAAGCAACTATTTCTTTTTCTGCTTGGTGGTAATTACCATTAGGTCTTAGGGGAAAAAAAGGCAGCTACTTTACACATGGCAGACAGGTGTTTTGTTCATGATCTTATGTTCCAAAGCACCTTATTCAAACAGAATTCAAACTATTGTACAGCTCTAATTCCCACTAACAATTGGCAAGCACGCTATTATGGGCTACAGCTTTTTGTGCAAATTCCTACTTCTAATTCCAGTAGCAAACTTGGAAAATACAATTGAAATTTGATGAAATGAATATGGAGGCCACCACCTGGCGACGTGTCTTGTTTTTGAAAGTTAAAACGGTGTCCGTGAAATGTGTTCTTAATCTTACCAGCATTTTCTTTCTTTGTAGAGATCTGATTAACAACATAGAGATTGAGAAGGTCCAAACTGACCGCTGAGCTTTTCAAAGGAGATACTCCCACTAGCTTCATCTTGGACTTAAGTTTTTCCTTCTCAAAAAAATCCTATTGAGAAGAGGTAGCACTTATCATATAGACATTTTGTGTAGCAATATTAATAGTAATAGTAGTAAAGTTGGAAGGGACCTTGGAGGTCATCTAGTCCAACCTCCTGCTCAGGCAGGAAACCCTATACCATTTCGGACAAATGGCTGTCCAGTCTCTTCTTAAAAACTTCCAGTGTTGGAGCATTCACCGCTTCTGGAAGCGGGTTGTTCCACTGGTTAATTGTTCTAATATATATAGCTTCTCTAGCAAATATATTGATATGATTGATTTTTTTTACTTTTCCTCTTGGAAATTAAGATGCACGTGAAGGTTACAACAGCAACTTTCATTGTGGCTGGACAGAGAAATGTGATGGGCCTGAAATCCTTCAAAATCTTAGAGTGGATTCCTGGGTCTTCCCAGATCTAGTTAAAAGTCTGCACAACAATGATTGTGAACAATTAATGATTTTTAAAACAGCATTCAATGTATCTGAAAACAGCTACCCTATAACTCCATTGTTATAGAATATGCAAACATTGACATAATAATAAAATTATTATGTCAATGACGATGATGGAAGATTTCTGGCTAGCTCAAGTATAATTTTAGGGGGTAATTGTTACTTACTTTCTGTTTTCTTCTCTCTTTGGTAAGCAGGATTCTTCGACTAGAAGATGGAAGAGAGAAAAGAAGAAGCATTTTTTAGAACAGTTTCTAAAATTAATGAATGCGTAATATTGAAGCCGGATTTATTTGGCTACTAAATCAGAAGGGATTAACGATGTGCTTTTTCCTTGATTAAATTTCTTGCCCACTTAATTCAAAATTCTGAAGACTTAAAATTTATTTATTTTATTTATAGAGCTGCCCATCTCAATCAATTTCTCTGGGCAGCTTATGATTCAGAAAAGACATACAATAATTAAAACAATAAAAACATTTTAAAAACAATAAAAGACCAAATAACAAATATTAAAGAAAAAAGCATTTATTTAAAATAAACCAGCCTATATATCCCAATTTATGGTTATTGATTGGCACGATTAGCATCAAAAACAGGCCTCGTGGTTATTGTTATTTTACATTTTAAATTTCTGAGGCAAAGTTTCCAATATTTTTGGGGGTGGAAAGGTAACATTTTTAAAAAACAAAGAAGAACTACTACTAAAGGCATGACTGCATCTTCTCTATCATTATAGTTTTCCATGTCTAATTTCCTTGTTATGATACCAAGAGATGCTTGGCTGTTTTTGGAAAAATCAGCAATTTATAAAAAATGAATGAAAACACCAGAGAGATTCAGAATTTGAATAATTCCCATAAAATAGATCATAAAGTAGACCGTGAGGTGTTAATCTGACTGGGTCATAACCTGTCAGTGGAAATTTTGTTGAATTTCCTTCCATTGCAAACCATTGCAATTGTCTCAGGTTGACAGCTACGATTTAATTATTGGTCCAGTTTATATTTTCCCCAAATTTGGAAAGGATTTTTTTTCCCAGCTGGGGTTAAAAATATCTGCTAGATTAATTACAGTAATTAATCAATAAATAAATACAGTTTGATCCACCCAGCTTTCAAATAACTGACTTCAAAATGGAGAAATCTGAGGGGTTTTCTGAAGGGTGCCAATATTTTTAAATATTTCTGGACTACATTTCTCTGGTGAATCTAATCTGCCCTGCAAAAAAGAATACAGTGAAAGGGAGGTCAATAAAACAGAGGACTTTAAACAACAAATAAATTCTGGAGAGCAGGCAGAAGTTCAGAAGGGAAAGCACTGCCATGGCTTTGAAAATCCAAAGGAAATTATTAATTTTTTCCCCTCCACCTGTCCCAGTACTTTGCGGGCCTTGCATGTAATAATTGGAATTTTTTAAAAAATCACTTTTTTATTTTGCATTGATGTTGCTGTGGGGGAAAATTGAAGGAAGGAGGATCACATTGGACACATTCACTGCCTTAGGTTGTTTGTAAACTCAACAAAGGCGGGATACAAAATAAAATAAAATATAAAATAAAATAACCCAGCCTGGAAGGAGAGTGTCAATCTTAAAGCAGGTAGTTTGTCCCCTCACAACCAAATCTTTCCTCAGGGGGACAGTGGTGTAATTGTGAGGCTTTTTTTTTGGGCTTCACTCACCGGGACCCCCCAACCCAATTCATGTTTCCTTTGTTCTGCCAACACCAGCCCTGACAGGCAGGCCACCCAGATGGCCACCAGCTGGAAAAGAAGGAAAGGAAAAAGGAAAGAAAGAAAAGAGGCAGCTCCGGAGGGCCCTGAGGGGAAATGTCAGCACCCACAAGTCCCAGTGGGGAATCACAAGATGGCTGAGGGAAAGGCTCTCCTGGGTGTGTCAGCCTCTTCTTGAACCCGAGGCTTCTCGGGAATGAAAAATTTAAAAAAAAATAGAGGCAATGAAATAAAGAGCAAAATGGGTGGTGGGAGGGAAGAGGGGAAATGAGGATTTGGGGAAGGGCTTGCAAAAAAACGAGATGGATGACCCAAATCTTCCAGATTCCCTTTTTTGGCATTTGCAAGCAAAGTCACTGCAAACAAAGTCCTTCCATGCATAGATGCATAAAATGCAACCTTGCAAGGGAAGAGTTTAATTTGAATCCCCATTAATACACTTCCTCTCCTTTGGGGTCCTATGGAAAGGCCAAGCCCCCCCCCAAAAAAAATCCAGGGTCCCTTAAAGCCCTTTTTTATGTAAAATATGGGTGGATTTCTCCCTGGGGGTTGCAAGAGGATGTGACTGATTCATCAGTCAGATTTCCTAAATGCCAATACAGCTGGGGCTAATCTCACCAGGAAATGATATTTTATTTTATTTATTTGTTTGTATCCCTTTACTATTTTTACAAATAACTCAAGCCATCAAACATAGCAACATACCTTCTTCCATATATATATATATATATATATATATATATATATATATATATGTTATATTATTGTATTAAATATATTACTATGTATTATATACTTACATTATTTATTATTATATCATGGTATTATATATTATTATATTGTTTTTATGTTATGTTGTTATGCTATGCTATGCTATATATTATATATTATATTATATTATTACATTACATTACATTATTATTATATTTATTATGCTATGCTATATTATGATCTTCTTGATCCTCTTCTTGACTTTCCCAAACCAATTACTCTTACTAGTTTTTAATTTTTTTTTCTTTAAAGGCTGCTTTTTTCCAGAGTTTAGTTTTTAAACAGGAGGAAGCCAAAGGTCACACTTAGTTCACATCAATCTTTTTTATTTCCAATGCCCATTAGTCGTAATTCGATTCCAAATACAGGAGGAGTTATTGATTATTCAGTAAAACAGGAGAGAGAACCTAAGGGATATGCTTACATGACTGATTTCATAAATAGATGGAATGAGGAGGGTTTTTATCTTTTGTATCATTTAAATCGAACAGACATGGAAATGCACGAAAATATGAGTCAGGATCATACAGTAAATAGGATCAGTGTTTATTTTTATGCACTTATTTTGTAAATTAATATATTGTTCCTCCCTGAATGGCTTTGTGTGTGTGTGTGTGTGTGTGTACACACAAACACACAAAGACATATTTATACAGGTAGTCCTTGATTTATGACAATTCATTTAATGACCATTCAAAGCTACAACATCACTGAAAAAGTGACATAACCACATTTCACACTTACAACCATTGAAGCATCTCCATGGTCATGTGACCAAAATTCAGACACTTGGCTCACATTTATGACGGTTGCATAAATTCCTGGATCCTGGGAACACCTTTTGCAACCTTTTGATAAGCAAAGTCACTGGGGAAGCCAGATTCACTTAACAACTGTGACAAGAAAAGTAAAATGGGGCAAAATTCATTTAACAAATGTCTCATTTAGCAACCTAAATTTTGGGCTCAATTTTGTAAGGTGAGTACTACCTGTATATATTTGATATATAAAATCCTCCTTTAGAAGTATTCCAAAACTAAATACCCTAAATTAAGAAAAGAGAAACATTTCTAAACTTTAAGGACACAGCCTACGTGTGAGGCCAGGTCATTATTCTGAAAAGGACCAGTATTTTATTCTTCAACCAATACGGTCGTGGCTATCCAAGCTGTTGAGCTTGTATATTTTATGTCTTTGTATAGGCGTGTGTTTGTATGTGCATATGTACAGCTTTGAGTCAGTCTTGAATCTTGATGATGGTTTGGAGTTTTCTTGCCAACATTTTTAGAAGTGGTTTGCCATTGCTTTCTTCCTAGGGTTCAGAGTGAGTGACTGGCCCAAAGCAACCCAACTGGCTTCATGCCTAAGGCAAGATTAAAACAGTCCCCAGACTTCTAATATGTTGCTTTTGACCACTACACAAAACTGACTCGCCTTGCATCTGTACTGCAGTATATTTTTATTTTTTCATACGGAGATAAAGTAACTTAATATGTGTCATACAGAGATAAAGTAGCTTAATATGTGCAATAGAATAATGCAAGGTAATATATCCAACCGATCATTCCGCTGTGTCAAAGATGCTATCTGATCTGATTTGATACTGATCTAGTTCGAGATTTCAGAATCTCGTTATAGAAGCACAAATTTGTAACTATAAATAAACAAACAGAACAGACAACTGCTCTCTATTGTTACCAGCCGAAAGCAAATCCATATTTAGAACATAGATCTTTCATTCCTTAATTGCTTAGAGGAAAAAAACAAACCCTCAGTCACAAATAAAAGCACCAAACGATCCACACTCAACCCAATTAAAATGAAAAACTCTCTGATTTTACTGTTGATAATCTGGTTTCTTAAGGGTTGTTGTTTTTTTTCCATATCAAATCTGAGTCAAAACGAGCAGGACTCAAAATTAAATGGAACCCTTATTGCAGTATATACATTATTACTCAGCATTTATATATATATATATTTACGGCAAAAATAAAAAGCACACTTCTCCTCCCTCAACGCTTCTCTTGTTTCTGAATCCTGATCTGGATAATCTCTTGTAGCTCCTAATCTCTGGCGGAAATAAGCAGCTCAGGGGTTCAGGAACCCATTTTATGATCAGCAAGATGGAAATTCTTATGAAAGAAAAAAAGAAAGAGAATGGTGGTCCTGCTGATTTATCAGCTTTAGAAGTGTCTCAGGGTCAAAAAAGTGAGGCGATGACCCCCTTCTGTTTAATAATACACATTTTATCATGTTTAGTCTTTCTGTAGGTCTGTATTTTCGTTTTATTGTACTCATAAGCCACTGAGCCACCAGGAGTCTATTGATTTGAGGAGATAAAAAAAAAATCTGATGAAAAATAAGTAATCGTGAACAAGTAATGCACCTAGCTAAATACAATTGCCTGTAACATAAACCAGAATAAAAATAATAGGACTATATTTTTTTGTTAAGAATAACCAGATCAGGGGTAGGCAACCTTGGCTCTTTTATGACTCCTGGACGTCAACTCCCAGAATTCCTGAGCCAGCATGCTTTCAGATGGTGGCCTTCAACTCCCAGAATTCCCCAGCCATCATACTTCCACTCGGTAGCCTTCAACTCCCAGAATTCCCCAGCCATCATACTTCCACTCGGTGGCCTTCAACTCCCAGAATTCCCCAGCCATCATACTTCCACTCGGTGGCCTTCAACTCCCAGAATTCCCCAGCCATCATACTTCCACTCGGTGGCCTTCAACTCCCAGAATTCCCCAGCCATCATACTTCCACTCGGTGGCCTTCAACCCCCAGAATTCCCCAGCCATCATACTTCCACTCGGTGGCCTTCAACTCCCAGTATTCCCCAGCCGTCATACTTCCACTCGGTGGCCTTCAACTCCCAGAATTCCCCAGCCACCCGTCTTCACGTAGCCAAGGCTGGGAAACTGCTGCAAAGCAAGCAGGCAGACCAGCGGGGTGCATTCCCACGCCCAGCCTTCCCCTGCACGGATCCATTTCCTCCCCCGGGTGTGTGTGTGTGTGGGGGGGGTCTTCGGGAAGGACCACCACCTTGGAAACGGCCATCCCGCAACTCCGTGCCCCCCTCCTCGGAGGAGCATCCCCGGCGCGCCAGCTCTTCCAGGCCCGACCCGCAGCTTCTGCTCGTGGGGAAGCGGCCACCTTGCCGGTGCGGGCGCGGCCAATGAACGGCGGAGGAGGTGGAGCCTGCGGCGACTGCACCCAAGCGGGATCGGGCAGCGGAGGTCCCGTTGCATCTGCCTTCTTCCTCCCCGCACGCATACACGCATACACGCTCACCCGACCCGCATCTGCGGGTCTCCGGACGGGACGATGACCTCCACCTTGCAAAGCGTCCCCGGGCGAGCGCCGCGCTGGAGCCGGGCGAGCGCGGCGAAGAGGGCAGCCGCCTTGCTGGCGGCGGCGTACGGGCTGAAAATCCTCTGGCCGCTGGTTTGCAAGCGGCTGCGGCGGGCAGGGGGGGCGCAGAGGGCTGAGCCCCGCCTGGCATGGGATGCAGCTGCGACAGAAGAAGAGGAGGAGGAGGAGAAGGAGGCGGCGGCGGGCTCGGGCTCGGGGTCATTGTCGTTGCATCGCTCCGGGCCGGCTGCCGGCCGAGCGTCGCCGGCAGCCAATGCGGAATTCCTCCGGCAGCTGCTGGCGCTGCGCAAGATCTTCTTCCCGCGGCTGGTGAGCCCCGAGAGCGGCTGGCTGTGCTTGCACTCGGTGGCGCTGGTCTCCCGCACCTTCCTCTCCATCTACGTGGCCGGCCTGGACGGGCAGATCGTGAAGAGCATCGTGGAGAAGCGACCGCGCAGCTTCGGCTGCAAGTTGCTCAAGTGGCTGCTGGTGGCCATCCCGGCCACTTTCGTCAACAGCGCCATCCGCTACCTGGAGTGCAAGCTGGCCTTGGCCTGCCGTACCCGCCTGGTGGATCACGCCTACCAGACCTACTTCGACCACCAGACCTACTACAAGGTGACCAACATGGACGGCAGGCTGGCCAACCCGGACCAGTCGCTCACCGAGGACATCATGATGTTCTCCCAGTCCGTGGCTCACCTCTACTCCAACTTGACCAAGCCCATCCTGGACGTAGCACTCACCTCCTACACGCTCATCCGGACGGCCCAGGCCAGGGGTGCCAGCCCTGTGGGACCCACGCTGCTGGCTGGCCTGGTGGTCTACTCCACGGCTAAAGTGCTGAGAGCCTGTTCACCCAAATTTGGCAAGCTGGTGGCCGAGGAGGCCCACCGGAAGGGCTACCTGCGCTATCTCCACTCGCGGATCATTGCCAACGGGGAAGAGATTGCCTTTTACAGAGGGCACAAGGTAAGAGGACGGAAGAGAGATGGATGGAGAGAAAGAGAGGGATCTAAGGTGGATTTGTTGCTGCTCCTGTAATTCTTGCTCAATCTTTCCCAGGAACATCTGCTCAGGGCAAAAAAAACCCCACTGAATTAATGGCGTAGCCAAGATCTAAAGCAGGGGTCTTCCAACTTGGCCCTTTGATGACTTGTGGACTTCAACTCCTAGAATTCCTCAGCCCACGTGCCTGGCTGAGGAATTCTGGGAGTTGAAGTCCACAAGTCATCAAAGGGCCAAGTTTGAAGACCCCTGATCTAAAGCAATGCTATCAAACCTGGCAACTTTTCAGAAGTGTGGACTTCAACTCCCAGAATTCCCCAGCCAGGCACGCTGGCTGAGGGATTCTGGGAGTTGAAGTCCACAAGTCATCAAAGGGCCAAGTTTGAAGACTCCCTGCTTGTGGACTTCAACTCCCAGAATTCCTCAGCCAGGCATGCTGGTTCAGGGGTTCTGGGAGTTGAAGTCCACACATCTGAAAAGTTGCCAAGTTAGTTTGAGAAACACTGCCAAATTGGGTCTTTTCTCTGTGCTTGATTAACAAGATTATTATTGTTTTTTATTCCTAGCAGAGCTCTCTGGAAGGGGGCAAGAGAAGGTAGCCGTAGGTTAGAATTCCTTAGGTAACTCTCTAATTTGTATTACAGTATTTTTTTCCTTGGCAGAAATTAAATTTACTCACAGGGTGAATTTCTGTTCTGTTAGCAGTGATGGCTATAAAGCAGGTCTGTGGACTTCGAAGAATGTCCAGTAATCTGCTATCCTTCTGTGGGAACCTGTGTTTATTCTTCCTCCACTTTTCTCTGTAATTTGCACATTAATCTTGCAATGTGGACATTTAGTTCACACAGAGGCTCTTTAAGTATTCTCCCATCCAATTGGATCAAGCTTGTTGCAATCCTGTATCTTTTTACTTCAGGATAACATTAGGTAGTCCTCGACTTACGACCTCAATTGAGCCCGAAGTTTTTGTTGCTAAGCGAGACGGTTGCTAAATGAATTTTGCCTCATTTTACGACCCTTTTTGCCACAGCTGTGAAGTGAATCACTGCCTTAGTGACACAGCTGTGAAGTGAATCTGGCTTCCTCATTGACTTTGCTTGTTGGAAGATTGGAAAAAGGGATTGTGTGATCTCGGGACACTGCAACCGTCATAAATCTGAGTCAGTTCCCAAGCGCCTGAATTTTTGATCCCATGACCACTGCAACGGTCCTAAGTGTGAAAAACAATCCTAAGTCCCTTTTTTTCAATGCCGTTGTAACTTTGAATGGTCCCTGTTGTAAGCTGAGAATTACCTGTAGGGGCGTGTCTGATCCATTTTTATGGGATATCCTTACAGATCACATTCTTGTAGCAACCGCATTTTTTCAAATAAATAAATAAATAAATAAATAAATAATAAAAATTCACAGGTTGAAATGCACCAAGTTCAGAAAAGTTACCAAGCTCTGGAAGAGCAGATGAACATCATTTTGTCCAAGCGTTTGTGGTACATCATGCTTGAGCAGTTCCTGATGAAATACGTCTGGAGTAGCAGTGGCTTGATTATGGTGGCGGTCCCTATTATCACCGCAAAAGGATTTGCTGATGGTGGTAAGATTGCTTTCCTCTGGATTTTGGTGAAAAGGCATAGAAGAGCGACATCTTCTGTGTGATAACAGTGTGATGATGCAGGGCATGGCACAGGGCCATTGCAGTCAGCTGGCATTTCAAACTGCCCTTTAATTGCTCCAAATTTTCCCCAAATGCTCCCACGTTTCTGGCAAGCCCCAGAACCGCACACACCTTCAGCCTTCTGGCTGCAAGTAATTTCATATATAGTTAGATTAGAAGAGTAATTTACTCAAGGCCATGTAGAGAGCAAGGAATGAAACCTACATCCCAAATCTAAGGAGTCTATGGAAACACAAGCTTGCCTGAGCAGTTTCAGAAGAGAAGCCAAAACACAACCCCAGGTCTTTGAACTCCCAAATCAAGTTTGTCAGCCAGTCCAATGGTCAGAGTTTCAGGGTTTCCAAGCAGAAACCACAAGATCAGCAACAGCACACAAAACTGCAAGGAATCAGCATTCCTGACAAATGCCTCTACCCGCTACGTCTCCTTAAGTCTCGGTCTCCAGGTGTGCCTCGTAGAGAGGGGCGGGACTCTCTCCTCCGGAGTAGTTGAGCCTGTCTGCGTTGTTCCCTACTAGGAATTTCTTGTAACTATAAAAAAAACCCCGAAGAGCTAGAGTCTACTCCCAACCATTCTTTTTTCTTCTAATCGTATTAGAATATTTCCAATAAAATGTTGAAAACATTGCTTCCATTGATTGTTTTTCTCATCGATAGATTTGGACAATGGCCAGAAACAAGCCATGGTGAGCGAACGAACGGAAACCTTTACTACCTCACGAAATTTGTTAGTTTCTGGAGCCGATGCCATTGAACGGATCATATCTTCCTACAAAGAGGTATTCCATTCGCTTAGCCTTGATAACAATGATCTATTGCGGTGTTTCCCAAACTTGACAATTTTAAGGCATGTGGACTTCAACCCCCAGATAGATAGATAGATAGATAGATAGATAGAGATAGATTTTATAGATATATAGATATAGATCAGTGTTTCTCAACCTTGACAATTTTAAGGCATGTGGACTTCAACCCCCAGATAGATAGATAGATCAGTGTTTCTCAACCTTGACAATTTTAAGGCATGTGGACTTCAACTCCCAGCAATGCTGGCTGTGGAATTCTGGGAGTTGAAGTCCACATGCCTTAAAATTGTCAAGTTTGGGAAACACTGCTCTATTGTAAACTTCTGAGGTCAGTTTGCAAAAGGAGAATGTTCACTCTTCATTTGGGATGATCTACCAAAGAAATGGGGCTGTTTTCTGCAGAAACCCAGGGCTGGGCACTCAAGCCAGATAACAAGGTTCACTAATCCCTTACGGTGAGCTTCGTTCAATTGAATTGGGGGGCCACGGAATCAGCATGAAGTGAAGACGGGCGAGCCGGATTGTTCAGATGGAAAAATTTCCATGTTTTTCATTTACGCGGTACATATGGTGTAGTATAGGCAAAATAATAAGAGGCCTGGCAGCGTTTCTCAAACTTTGGGGGAAACTGTGGCGCACCCAGTGACATATTAGGAGAATATAATGACCGCTCAATTAAACCATCTTTTCTTAATTTTCTTTAGCAGCATGAAAATTTACATTTTTACCATTCTCTCTCTCTCTCTCTCTCTCTCTCTCTCTCTCTCTCTCTCTCTCTCTCTCTCTGTGTGTGTGTGTGTGTGTGTGTGTGGTTTTAAAAAACAGATGCTTAAAACTTCCATTTGCCTTGTAAAACTGCTGAATCTCCCACCTGAAAAAAAGACCCTGGCCCTGCCTTATTTAGGAGTTTGGTCCTTGATATGCCATGCTAAGCCAGTTAGGCAGGTCCTGTTCTGCTCTGCTCCACTCTACTCCACTCCACTTACTCTACTCTACTCTACTCTACTCTACTCTACTCTACTCTACTCCACTCCACTCCACTCCACTCCACTCCACTCCACTCTGTTTTCTATTCCATTCCCTATTCCATTCCGTTCCATGGAAGCTCACTAGATGACCTTTGGCCAATCACTGTCTATCAACTCAACCTACCTCACAGGGTTATTGTGGTGAGAGATGGGAGCAATATGCATGCCATCTTGTGCTTCTGAACAACAGTCAGGATGTAGAATGAATGAATGAATTTATTAATTAATTTCATCAGGTCCTCTGGCTCAGAAATTCATTTGTTGCCACCATTTCAAGGAATCATACGATTGAAGTGCTGAAGATTATTCATTTGCAAGCAGAATTTGTTACCATCTGAGACACGCAATCAGTTCTGATAGACGGGGAGTTTTTAGGATACAATTAGATCCAAAAATGTTCTTCTACATTTCCAATCATTTCTTGCTCTCCCTATAGCCAATTAAACTCCACATTTCTTAGTAAAGTCAGATTTTAACTGCTCCATTTCTGCAGCAGAAGAAAGTATAATTTCAAATTAATATTCTGCCCCAGAACCTGTCAGAATTTTAAAAAGGCTTACTGATTCAGCCATCAAACCACTGGAAACTTCATACCTTACTTTAGTTTAAATCTTGAGTTTTGTGGATCTTCTATTGTGAAGAGAAAAATGTCTGATGATGAATTCATAGATTTTGTTCTTCATCAAAAGCCAGATTACAAAATGCAAATTCACCCCTTTGCAATAATAAACAAAGCATTTATTTTGGTACTTAGTCCATATAACTTATCATTATGGCTTTAACTTGTGATTGTGTGTTGTTTTGTAGATTGCAGAATTAGCCGGCTACACTGCCCGTGTTTACAATATGTTTTCAGTTTTCGATGAAGTAAAAAGGGGCATTTACAAAATGTCAAACCTTACTCCAGAACGGGAAAACAGCAACAAGAAAAGGAATAAAGCCAAACAATGCATTAATGGCCCTTTAGAAATCAAAGGTAATCCATACATTTCTGTTTCTTGATTTATTTATTTTTAATATTTCACATCTGGGTACAATTTAACATGGAAACGGTGAGACGGTTTATATCTGTTCTTAAGTATCTGTGTTTCTCACTAGCTTTGTGCTGCTTTTATAACCAGGCATTTATTAAAGGATAATCTATACGTTCTCTGTCACTGGCAGTGGATCCAACAGAGAACAGTTAATCACTTCTAGCCAGTAAAATTGGCAAAATTAACAGGCAAAGTTCTTTAGCCCAAAATAGGATCTGAGCCAAAAAAGTAGATTAGTATTTCTTTATTTATACATTAACAAGGGGAGGCCCACCCAGATACAAGTGAGGACCCCTTAAAAGGGTAAAGAATATACAGTTATACACAATTCCAACATACTTTGTATGTTGGAATGTGTCCTTTCATTGGTTGGCATCATTTGCTGACATGGATATTATGTGAAAATTCATGAACATGACATGCAATGTAATATTCTTAGCGTGATCTTGTTAATACCTAATTGCACATTCATTGGGCATGGTTTTACATTATAAGGAGGCATAATGAGTAAAGAGCCACTGAATGGACTTTAATGCCGCATTAAAGTTCTGAACACAGATAATGTGGCTCATTTCAGCGTGTGTGTGTGAGAGAGAGAGCAACTGCTGATATTGTACAACATCAAACAATATCATTAGAATAAATGAATGAAGTAACGAATGAATAAATGCATGAATAAATGAAAGGTTAAAACATATGAAGAATGGTTGCAGGAATTGGGTGTGTCTAGTTCAGGGGTAGGCAACCATGAGTCAGCATGGCTTAGCTTGGAAACCTCTCCCTTTTCCCTCAGCATGGTTGGCTGAGGAATTCTGGGAGTTGAAGTCCACGAGTCATAAAAGAGCCAAGGTTGCCTACCCCTGCCCTAGGCCGCTTTATGACTCGTGGACTTCAACTCCCAGAATTCCTCAGCCAGTGTGTCTGGCTGAGGAATTCTGGGAGGAGTCTTCAAACTTGGCCCTTTTATGACTCGTGGACTTCAACTCTCAGAATTCCTCAGCCAGCCACGCTGAGGGGAAAGGGAGAGGTTTCTAAGCTGAGCCATGCTGGCTCAGGAATTCTGGGAATTGAAGTCCACGAGTCATGAAAGGGCCAAGTTTGAAGACCCCTGCTCTAATACAATCCTTGACCTTTGGTGGTATGAAGATGAAGTCAAGAAACTCTTTCAAATGAAAAGTCAAAAGGCTGTTTGGGTGATTCAAATAAACGTCCGTGCAGACTTTCCCTTATCCAGTGGCTATATTGAAGTACAGCTACCCTCCATTTTAATGCACGCTGACCTCTTAAAAGCATAACGATCGATGGCAAAGAGCAATCTGCAGGATTGCTTAGTGCAGAGGTATTTTCAGGACAGGAAGGAGGGAAGAGGAGGCAGAATGATATGACAAAATAAAAATAAAACCATTGTGCCCTTGTGATGCAGATTCAACCCCCTTTTTACATGCCTTGTTATATATCACATGCACAACCCAACATTTCTATCCTTAAGCAAGGAGGCAGTTGTTTAGCAAGGAGTTGGGCCCCATGTGCATGGGAGTAAGCTATGCATGCCTGGCTGGGGAATTGTGGGAGTTGAAATCCACATGTCTTAAGTTGGCCAAGATTGGAAACACTGCCCTCCTTGGGCTTGGAAATCATTCCATATCTATATCTATATCTATATATCTATATCTATATATGTATATCTATATATGTATATCTATATATGTAGGTCTTTGGTTATTTGGGTTTTCTCCCGCGTAAAATTGGAAGTGTCTTGGCGACGTTTTGACAAAGTCCCATTTGTCATCTTCAGGCTGGTGTTTTCAGCTTCGTGCTTCGAGGAGCAATGTGTGGTCTTAGCTCCTCAAAGCACGAAGCTGAAAACACCAGCCTGAAGATGACGAATGGGACTTCGTCGAAACGTCGCCAAGACACTTCCAATTTTACGTGGGAGAAAACCCGAATAACCAAAGACCTACATACAAATACCCGCGAAAACCTCAGAAAACAAATATCTATATATATCTATATATCTGTATCTATGTATCTATATCTATATATCTATATCTATATCTATCTATATCTATATATCTATATATCTCTATCTTTATATCTATATATAAAGATTATATCTATATATAATTTGTATATTTATATATATCTATTTATCTATCTATATCATCTATCTATCTATCTATCTATCTATCTATCTATCTATCTATCTATCTATCTATCTATCTATCTATCTCTCTACCTTTATCATTTATCTGTCTGCCTATCTATGTCTATTATCGTCTGTCTGTCTATCTATCTATCTATCTATCTATCTATCTATCTATCTATACATATCTACACACACACATGCACACACACACACACACTCATTCCATATATATATATATATAATACAGCCTAATCTCTGACGTTTTAAAGAAGCTTGTCTTTTCCCAGCTTTATACCACTGGCTTCTGAAGTCCTGCATGATGCTAGGAAAAGATTTGACTGCTTGAAGAAGTTATAGAAGGGGCTGTGTTTGGACTTGTGTCTAACCTGAAGCAAATTCTTCAAATCAGACTGGGAGTATTGTGTAGACTTACCTAGAACCATTTCCTAAAGCAGTGGTTCTCAACCTTTTTAATGCCGCGACCCCCAACCGGTCGTAAGTCGAGGACTACTCAACCAGTTGTAAGTCAAGGACTACTCAACTGGTGCAGCACCGTTTGCAGAATGGGACTTTTGGCAGGCTCAGCCGGGCAGAGACAGCCTGGACAATTCCTACTGTTTTGAAAGCCAATAGAATTAGACTCTATTCAAGAGAGTCTATTCTATTGGCTTTCAAAAGCCAATAGAATAAAAGGGAGGAGCACAGCTAAGGAAAAGGGGGGGAAAAATGGCGGACTGCGTTGATTGGCGACCCCCGTGAAATGGTCGTTCGACCCCAAATGGGGTCCCTACCCACAGGTTGAGAACCACTGTCCTAAAGTGTTAAATAAATGTTAACACCATATAACAAATTTGTAGTGATTAAGCTTCCTCTGTGATGGACATTGGTGCAAATTCTTAACATAACCGAAGAATTGAGAAACAAAAGTCATCCCATCTAGAATTTTAGGAAGGCCTTTTTGTGAGAAACTCACCCGGTGACGAAAGTCTGTCTGCAAAACAGCCTTTCCCGGAACGATAACTTTCTGTCTGCGCTTGTGTGTCTTCTGCTTGCTCTATTAACGTACTTTGTGCTTTTTGTCTTTCTTTCTTTCTTTTTTTTTTTACTTATAGGAAAAGTAATAGATATTGATCATGGGATTATCTGTGAAAATGTCCCTATAATTACCCCAAATGGAGATGTGGTGGTTTCCAAGCTAAACTTCAAAGTAAGAGGCTATGCGGGAATCTTCTGATTGTTGTCATCCCAATTAGCACAAAACGAGCACAGAGTTCATGTACCTTATGTTAAATACTTGGACAAGCATATGGAAAAATGGGGAGATCAAGCAAGGTAGGCATAGCAGCTCGACGACCAGAGGCAGAAATGTTGAGTTTATCCCATGACAGGTAGTCCTCGACCTCAACTGAGCCCATCATTTCCGTCGCTAAGCGAGGTGGTGGTTAAACAAGCTTTGACCCAAATTTACAACCTTTTTGGGGGGGGCGGGGACAGAGCTTTGATGGAATCGCTTCAGTTGTGAAGTGAATCATGGGGTTGTTAAGTGAATCTGGCTTCCCCCATTTGACTTTGCTTGTTGGACTTTGCCAGCCGGGAAAGTTACAGAAGATAATCACGTGACCCCAGGACACTGCAACCGTCTTAAGTACACGCCAGTTGCCAAGCATCCGAATTTTGATCACCTGACCGTGGGGATGCCGCAACGATCTGAAAATTGGTCCTAAGTCCCATTTTTTTTGGGTGCCGTTGTAACTTTGAACGGTAAGTCTAGGATTGCCTGTATAAGTCTTCCAGGACCTATATACAGTAGTGGCCAAAATTGTGGAAACCTTTTGGGAAAAGTGTATTTTTGAGGTTGGATGGCTAATAACACCACTTGTTTTTGGAGTAGTACCATAAATTTAAGGTATATTCCGGCATATGAGGCGACCCGGCGTATAAGACGACCCCCGACTTTGGCGCCGAGTCGCATGCCTAGAAAGTCATCTTATACGCCGGAAACTACCGTTATTTCCGGCATATAAGACGACTCGGCATATAAGACGACCCCCGACTTTGGCGCCGATTTTAACGCTTGTGAAAGTCGTCTTATACGCCGAAAAGTACGGTATATATCAATGGAAAGATAATTTAATCAAGAATGAAATGCAACAAAGTTTGTTCGATTATCTCTACCGTATTCTATGAAAAGTTATAGCCAAATAAACCAGAAAAAGGAAGCACAACTTGCTCAGGTTGATATCAGATAGCTTTCCTTCATCTGATTGTAGCCAATGAGCGTGAGTGTTTAGAGAGCCAATCGTGCGTCATCTTGCTTTGGCCATGAGCCAATCAGATCACAGGAGGATCCAGTGATCGATGTCGCGTATTGAAGCCGAGAGGAGGACATTTGTCAGTGTGTTATGTGATCACTATCAAGTTGGTTGGGGTTTTTTGGTGCTCTTTCCTTTAGGGAGCTTGTAAAACGTAATAAAATTAAAGGAATAGTGCAAAGAGTTGACTGGTCGCCCAGAAAGCGATGTAAAATAGTATTATGAAGTGAACAAGGCTACAACTATAAAGAAATTAGAAGAAAAATGGGTGGAAACTTAAGCAAAGGTGGCATTTCTACTGTACACTTTTCCCAAAAGGTTTCCACAATTTTGGCCACTACTGTATCTCGTAGTCTCTGTGCTCTGCAAGAACACAAGAAGTAACTATAGTGACAGAACGTGTTTGCAGTCAGTCATTATGAAAACTCCCGTTTGTGTCTATGGGTCTTATTGTATAAATTGAGCTCTCTCCGTCATTCAGCTGGCAATCACCAGATGCAAGCTGGGACACGGGCCCACATCTTATCTCCCTCAGTGTCCCAAAGTATATATAATATTAAAATAATGCCTGCAGCAATACATAGACTTGCTTAACGTCAACCTCCTTTCCTTAGTTGTAAAATCGGCTCTCGTCAGATGGGTGTCTCGACTTACGACCGCCATGACTTACATTGGAAATTCTGTGCTCCGTTACAGTTGTAAATCAAGGACTACCTACATTGTGGAATATAACAATTCTGAATTCATTTTTTTAAAACTGTGCCGTTGAAGCTAGGAACTGCTGCTACAATCGTTAAGAAGTATCCAGAACTGAGATTTGTCATCAATCATGGCCTGTGAATATGTCGGGATGTATTTTTCCCTGCCTTCAGAGAGAGACCGATGCTCCTGTTTTTAAAAATAAATTGGCTTGATGGTGACTAAAATAGGAAGCAATAATAAGATGCAAATTGTAATGCACAGTACTGCCTTTCAGTTTATGTTTCAATGGGCAAGAATAGCAATTTTAGGTCGATATTTATATATCAGTTGATAACCGTAACTGATGTGTAAGTAGAATTGGGTACCATTAGGGATGAAGATAAATTCACTGTTAACATATCTTGTGAAAGATACTTTTGGAAATAATTTGTTGCTTTGGTACACTTCAGTTGTGCTTGAATTTCTTATGCGAGCTAAGGATCCAGGCTGGGAACAGGGACACAAAGCTAACCAAATCTTAGGGTGAATCTTAAAGTCATTGAATCAGCATGTTCGGGGGTGAGGGGGGGGGACCTTTGGATGGTGCCAGTCATCTTGATAAAAAAAAGAATCCTGGTTATGCAGTGGTTAGGATGCAGTATTGAGGGCTAACTCTGCATTCCTACAGCCAGGAGTTCGATTCTGACCAGCTCAAGGTTGACTTGGCCTTCCCTCCTTCCGAGGTTGGTAAAATGAGGACCCAGATTGTTGGGGGCCATATGCTGACTCTGTAAACCGCTTAGAGTGGGCTGTAAAGCACGGTGAAGTGGTACATAAGTCTAAGTGCGATTGCTATTGCTATCTCTGCCACGGTGGCACAGTGGTTAGAATGCAGTATTGCAGGCTGACTCTGCATTCCTACAGCCAGGAGTTCTATCCTGACCAGCTCAAGGTTGACTCGGTCTTCCAGCCTTGCGAGGTCGATAAAATGAGGACCCAGATTGTTGAGGGCAACACGCTGACACTGTAAACCGCTTAGAGAGGGCTGTAAAGCACTGTGAAGCGGTATATCGGTGCTATTGTTATCTCTGCAGTAGTGGCGCAGTGGTTAGAATGCAGTATTGCAGGCGGACTCTGCCCACTGCCAGGAGTTCGATCCTGACCGGCTCTACGTTGACTTGGCCTTCCATCTTTCCAAGATTGGTAAAATGAGGACCCAGATTGTTGGGGGCACTGTAAACCGCCCAAAGAGCGGTCTGTAAAAGCCCTAATGGAACGGTACATAAATCTAAGTGCTATTGCTATAAAAAGCCAGGTGAAAAATAAGCACTCTTCCCAAAGTGACTGTGCCTCTCACTCCACTTTGCAGGTTGAGGAAGGCATGCATCTCCTAATTGCCGGTCCCAATGGTTGTGGGAAGAGCTCGCTTTTCAGGATTCTAAGTGGCTTGTGGCCCGTCTACGAAGGGGTTCTTTACAAACCACCTCCTCAGCATATGTTCTACATTCCACAAAGGTTTGGAATTTTCGTTTCTTACCAAATTGGTTCATAATAAAGGGGGGGTCTACGGGCGCTAAACTGTATGATGAACAGTTGAGGGATGGGGATGGGTATGTCTAGCCTACCAAAGAGAAGGACTAGGAGTGATAGGATAGCAGTCTTCCAGTACTTAAGGCAGTGGTTCTCCACCTGTGGGTCGGGACCCCATTTGGGGTCGAACGACCATTTCACGGGGGTCGCCAAACAACGTAGTCCGCCATTTTTTCCCCCTTTTCCTTAGCTGTGCTACTCCCTTTTATTCTATTGGCTTTTGAAAGCCAATAGAATAGACTCTCTTGAATAGAGTCTAATTCTATTGGCTTTCAAAAGCCAATAGGAATTGTCCAGGCTGTCTCTGCCCTTCTGAGCCCGCCAAAAGTCCCATTCTGCAAACGGTGCTGGACCAGTTGAGTAGTCCTCGACTTATGACCGGTTGAGTAGTCCTCGGCTTACGACCGGTTGGGGGGTCGCGGCATTAAAAAGGTTGAGAACCACTGACTTAAGGGAAAGAGAAAAGAGGGTTGAGCTATTCTCCAAAGCACTTGAGGACAGGACAAGAAGTAACGGGTGGAGTATCACCCAAGAAAGATCCAACCTAGAATTAAGAGAAATTTCCTGATGGTGAGAACAATTAATCAGCGGTGTGGCTTCAGAAGTTATAGGTACTCCATCACTGGAGGTTTTCAAGAAGAGACTGGACAGTCATTTGTCCAGAATGGTGTAGGGTCTCCTGCTTCAGCAGGGGGTTGGACTAGACTAGAAGACCTGCAAGACCAAGCCAATGAATATATCTTCTATGTCTTGCTCAGAGTAGCCCCCAAAAGTAACACCTCAAAGGGAAGAATACGTCCTACACGGAAAGTTTATGAAGATCACCTTGGATTCTTAGATCGGTTGAAAAGTCTCTGCATTTTCCCCAGTGTAAGGAATCCTACAATGTGCAGTGTGGGGGGTCGGGAGGAGAGGGGGTTGGATTTGATGACCTCTGGGATCCCTTCCTATGATTTTGTGAATAACTGCATGTCCTCAATGTACTGAATTTTGGGATGGCAGAGTCATTGATTGAGATGGGTGGCTATAGAAATGGAATGGATGAATGAATGAATGAACGAACAAACAAACAAAGGAATGAATGAATGTTGGTGATACCTCACCTTGTGCCAGCAAATGACCTCACCCATGAAATCTCTTCAACATTCAAGAGGAGGGGAGAGGACCTTAAGGCCTGAGGCACCCCACCAGAGGGCCTAGCTCAGGGGTAGGCAACCTTGGCTCTTTTATGACTCATGGACTTCAACTCCCAGAATTCCTGAGCCAGCCTGGCTCAGCTTGGAAACCTCTCCCTTTCCCCTCAGCGTGGCTGGCTGAGGAATTCTGGGAGTTGAAGTCCACGAATCATAAAAGAACCAAGGTTCCCCACCCCTGCCCTATATCAGGGGTCCTCAACCTTGTCAGCTTTCTGACTCGTGGACTTCAACGCCCAGAATTCCTGAGCCTGCATGGCTCAGCTTGGAAACCTCTCCCTTTCCCCTCAGCGTGGCTGGCTCAGGAATTCTGGGAGTTGAAGTCCACAAGTCATAAAAGAGGCAAGGTTGCCTACCCATGGCCTAGCTAGACCTCTCCAGCCCCCCCCCCCCCCCAAACACCACTTGGACTGGCCACGGTACCTTCCCACACCGAAGACTTTTACACTTTTTGCACTTCTGTAATGGAACAATAGCTGGTCACTTTTTTCCCTTTCCTGTGTCAGCAGGATGACTTCTAATTATCACCTGCTATGTATGAAAAAAATACGCTAAGCTCTGTGCTGGATGAGCTGTGCTAAGGAGTATAAGCTAATTAAACTCAGTTATAGTAACTGAGCTCTTTGAAATATTTAACAGACCCTGTTGGATGCTGGACAGAGAGGCTGACTGACAGTTATTTGAGGCACAGATCAATTACTCCTCCCTTAAAGAATTGTGCAAGAAATAGCAACTGGCCTGGCATACTCGTGAGCTAATTTCAGTGGAGAAAGTCGCACATTACTGAAAAATCAAGAACCCTTAGTAGTGGTTGAGCAGGTTTTGTGGGCGTGTAATATGATTTATGGATCTGAGGATTAAAAATATATGGACTACTAGGGTTTGAAAGGATTTATATACCTCTAAAAGAGAGACAGAGGATTATAAGATGGTGGAGAAAGCAGGAAGACGTGTATTTTACAACTCCTTTTTTTTTTGCTTGCTTATTTCTTAATTTTTTCCCCTCCTTTTCTTTAGATTTGACTCTCGCTGCATGTAAAATTCTAAATAAACATTAATAATAATAATAATAATAATAATAATAATAATAATAATAATAATAGTAGTGATAGGCTCCTTGGGTGCAATCCCAAAACAACTGGAGCACCACTTGAACACCATTGGCATTGACAAATTTGCTATTAGTCAATTGCAAAAGGCGGCCTTATTAGGAACTGCTTCCATCCTGTAATACCATCAAACATCCACATCTGCCTATCCCAGGTCCTGGGTAAGGACTCGATAGGTAGACAAAATGCCAAATCCAGTCTGAACATCTGGCTGACTGTGTGATGATCCATAATAATAATAATAATGGTGGGAAATAGAACTTGGATAGTAGATTATACCAAAGATGTGTTCCACCTCTATGGAATAATGGCTATAAATCATTTTGATACATATAAATTAGTAATTCCCATTTTTTTCGGCTGCCCGTATTTGCGTTTATCAGAATGTAGGTCAGGATTGAGGCTTTAATCCTCCCTGTAAGAACATTAACAGTGAATTCCAGTGTTTTTATGCCAGCCGGCTTTTGCCATAAATGTGACGTTGAAGTCCACGAGTCATAAAAGAGCCAAAGTTGCCCACCCCTGGCCTACTGTTAATCTGGGTGTGAATCTCTGCTCATCCGGATATTGATTGCTGGCAAGGAGATGTATGTAAACCTCAACTTACAACAAGTTCATTTAGTGATGTTTCAAAGTTACAACGGCACTGCCAAAGTGACTCAGGACCCTTTTCCACACTTGCGACCGTTGCAGCATCTCCATGGTCATGTGACCAAAATTCAGACGCTTGGCAACTGACTTGTACTTTTGACAGTTGCAGTGTCCCTGGGGTCACGTGATCACATTTTGCGACCTTCTGACAAGCAAAGTCGACGAAGTCAGAGTCACTGTTACCGACTCAACAACTGCCGTGACTCATTTAGCAACTGTGGCAAGCCAGGTTGTGAAATGGGGAAAAAAAAAATCCACTCAGCAACTGTCTCGCTTAGCAACAGAAATCTTGGGCTCAGTTGCGGTCGTAAGCCGAGGACTTACCTGTATTCTCTTCCCTGGTGGATGATTTTTCTCCATTTTTCAAGGAGACAGTTTTTCAACGATTTAACAAAGAGTGTTACTGCAAAGATGCAGTTGAAGCCCGGTAGTTTTTCATGTGCACAGTAAAACAAGAAGCAAAATTTAAATTGTGGCTGGAAGTTTTTTATTCCGCCCACCCTTCTTTCCCACAGATACCCCCTGATTGTCAGAATGGAATCAGGAATGTAAAACATTACTGTTGATTAGGCCAATGAGAGGCAACATTTTAGAATTCTTGTTATCCAGTTAGATTGATCGACCAGTTTAACGTATTGCTAATAAAGCAAACCAACTAACCAGCCAACGAAACACATCCAAAACACATCCCCATTTCTACATTCAGCTCATAATTCCAGGCAAAAAAGGTATCCAGATGATCAGACTTGGGAATAACTAGGAATGTTTATTAAAAAAAAAAAAAAGAGGCTGTCTGAATTTGGAAAAAGAACCGCTTTCAAATAGTCCACGAAAATTCCCGCATTTGTATCAGCTTGGTATGGAAGACAATAAAAATACATACTTATTTTTACTCAGTGTTCAGACTTCTTTGCTGCCCCATCTTGCGTAGGTATAGTGCCAACTTGATACTGGATTTTCTGTTTTGTGTGAATTTTCCTTCCAAGGAATTAGATAAATTCTTCTTTATGGAAAGCATTCTTCTTAAGCCAGATTTATTCCCGCTAATAAACTCTAATCATTTCTTCTGTAAACAATGCATTGTTTTTTTCCAGCAAGTTGAGGAAACAATCATCCTCAGATAATTACAGTCTTTAGAAACGTGGCATTTAAAGCATTATGTGCTGCTCGGAGAACAGCAGCCTTGAAATAGCAGGGTTGAGATGCGATCTCCCAGGCAAGGAGAGGGCAAAATCCAATTCTCTTTTTATTTCTTTCAGGCCTTACATGTCCCTGGGAACGCTACGGGATCAAGTCATCTATCCTGATTCAGTGGATGACATGCATGAGAAAGGATACCAAGACCTGGACCTAGAATTTATCCTACAGATAGTTCATCTGAATCATATTATTCAGAGAGAGGGAGGTATGCATTCCCCCCCCCCCGGGAAAATATGGCGTATCGTTAGGAAGTTGGGATTGCCAAGGCCAACAAAACCAGTTTCAGCAAAGATCTCCCCATAGCCTGAGCCACTTTTACAGTGTTCGCGGAACTCTTCTTTTGAGCTGATGAAGGTTGCCTTACAAAGGATGAAAAGAGTTTGTAAAATACACAGGAAGCCCCTTTGTGACTTTTATGTGTCTTCCCGAAGGTTGGAACACTGTGATCGATTGGAAAGACGTCCTGTCTGGAGGAGAGAAGCAGAGAATGGGGATGGCTCGGATGTTTTATCACAGGTAAGTCTTGCTGTTATTCCTCACTAGCTGGTGGACCTGGCAGCTGAGTCTGAGGAATCAGAGGAGGAGGAGGAAGGGCCTGGAGTGACATCAGAGTCAGAGGAAGGCTCTGAGGAGCTCCAAGACTTACAGTCGGACGAGGAGCCTGGCCCCTCTACTCGCACTCAGGCTGAGACACAGCTGTGCTGGGAGCCTGAGTTGGACAGTGATGAAGAACAGCTGGGACAAATCCCAGATGCACAAATGCGCAGGCAAGAGAAGCAAGCAGGACGGGAATGCAATGGGGTAGTTCCAAAGGCAAAGGAGAAGGCATTAGGAAGCCACGCCTTGGCTGAATTATAAAAGGGAAGGTATGGGGGATGCTGGAGCTGTTCGTGTTGAGGATCTAGTTTCTGTGGACTGCGTTTGTTTGCCTTGAACATTGACTCAGGTCTGTGAGAATAAAAGGGGTTGTTTTTTTCTTGCGGTTCCTGCTGTTTCTTGGAAGAGGGGTTTCTCCTTGAGAGCATAACAAGGACTCACGTAGGCTGGGACAGAACAAATCTTAATATTTTTGATTTCAGTGGGGATAGAACAGTTATGAGTTAGTATATCGCAGTGATGGCGAACCTTTTAGAGACTGAGTGCCCAAACTGCAACCCAAAACCCACTTGTGCATCTTTGAGTGCCGGGTGGGTGTGGCTCACTGGGTGGGCGTGGCCCATTGGGTGGGCATGGCTGCGGTGGTAACGGCAGACTGGGTGGGACTAAAAAGTTCAATCAATTCCAACTTTGCAAGATCTTTTTTTTCCCACGAGAAGTTGCAATTGACTGATTGAACCTTTTTTTTTTTTGCACACGGCGGCGGAGGCCTAAAGCGAAAAGGTTTTATAAAACCCAGCTGAAGGTCTAGGACTGGGGCGATGGCGCGCGTGCCCACAGAGAGGGCTCTGAGTGCCGCCTCTGGCACCCATGCCATGGGTTCGCCACCACTGGTATATCGCCACTGATTGGCTGGACTTCAACTCCCAGAATCCTCCGGGTGGCTATGCTGCCCGGAGGATTCTGGGAGTTGAAGTCCAGCCATCTTCAAGTTGCCAAGGTTGAGAAACCCTGATTTATAAGCACCTGATACTATAAATGCAAGCAAAGAGTTAGCAACAGCGGGATCCAGCAAAGCAAAAAGAACGAGACCTATTGAGTCACCTCTTCGTGTGGTTTTCGGTCAGAGAGATTCTGAAAAAGGAAAAAAAAAAACCGCACGGGCGGCAACTGGGTGTCCTCCAGAAGCTACGGATTCTATCCAATGTGTCTGGCATGACACAATTTATCCTGTGCAACTTTCCAAGGACAGTAGGAGGCTTCCAGCGGTCTCTGTGAAAAGCCCTCAGTCAGCTGAAAGGAGGTGAGATGAAAAGAGGAGATTTCAGCTGTATCTTCCTACGGAGATCTGCAAGAAATGGAAAAAATAATCATTTTTAATGAGAAACGGGTGGGTTGGAAATGGTGTGAGTGAAAAACGAGCAGTGGTGTCGATAAACAGCAAACATAAATATTAGTGGCCTTTCTTTGAGTGGAGATGAAACAGGGACACCCATCTGGTTGCTTTGAAGTGGAGAAATTGTCCATCTTGGCATCAGGAGAAATGTTGTTAAGTGAGACATTTGTTAAGTGACTTTTTCCCCGTTTTACGACCTTTCTTGACACTGTTGTTAAGTGAATCTGACTTCCGCATTGATCTGGCTGGTCCGACGGTCACAAAAGGGGATCACACAGCCCCGGGACGCTGCGACCATCATAACTATGAGCTAATTGCCAAGCGTCTGAATTTAGATCACGTGGCCACAGTGAGGCGGCAACAGTCATAAGCGTGAAAAACAATCATAAATCACTCTTTGAATGGCGGTTGTAACTTCAGACGGTCACTAAAAGAATGATCGTAAGCCCAGAAGTACCTGTACAGTATTCAGGGGAACAGCAGAAAGAAAAAGAATAATCGTGTTTGTCTTCTTTGCAAGGCCGAAATACGCGTTGCTAGATGAATGTACCAGCGCCGTCAGCGTTGACGTGGAAGGAAAAATTTTCCAGGCTGCAAAAAGTGCCGGCATATCCCTGCTTTCAATAACTCACAGGCTGTCTCTTTGGTGAGTCACTATAAGAGGAATATACACTTCCCTCTTCCCCGTCTTTCTGTGGGGCATCACATAATGTGACTTGAAGCCTCTACTGCAGACATGTCAAACACAAGGCCCCGGGGCCGGATGCGGCCCACAAAGTGGTTTCATGCGGCCCGCGAAGCCATCCTGGAAACAGTGAGGGAACGGCCCCCACTGGTCCAGGCCGGCCGGGGGAGCCAATGTACAATTTTGTGGTGGCCCTCTATGCTGAAACGCATTCAGTCTTAGCTCCACAAGGCCGTCTGGAAACAGCGAGGAACCAGCCCCTGCCACGTCGGCCCCATCCCCTGGGTGCGTGCTGGGGAGGTGTCCCCCTTTGTGAGGAATGAAGAAATGCACCATCGCCTGGAAGTGGCCAGCAAATCGCCCTCGTCTACTTCACATATCCGGCTTGATGGGCTCCGGGGGAGGGGTTTCGGCAGGCAGTGGGGCGCTCTCCTCACAGCGCCGAGAGGCTGAGCCGGGTGTCACGAATCCCAAAAGAAACGTGAGGCCGCCCAGCTCCCAGCCTGCCCAGTTTCAGCAGGCAGCGGGGCGCTCTCCTCGCAGCACCAAGAGCTGAGCCGGGTGGCGCGAATCTGATGAGAAGTGCAATGCTGCCTAGCCCCCAGCCTGCCCCGTTTCAGCAGGCAGCAAGGTGCAAAGTTGGCTAGCTTCGTACCGCCCGGTTCAACCTCTCGGTGCTGTGAGGAGAGCGCCCTGCTGTCTGCCAAAACCACGCCCACCCAGTAGGCCACACCCACTCCACCCACACCCACCCAGTAGGCCACACCCACCCTGGCCACACACCCCCAGCCCCCCCCAAGGGCAAACGCAATGCTGATGCGGCCTTCAATGAAATTGAGTTTGATACCCCTGCTCTACTGCTTAAATAAATAGTAAGTACAGAGTTCTTACACCTTGTCATTTGGAAAGGGTTTCCCGGTCAAGACCTCCAGCTTTAATCAGCGGGAACGACTTGTTTCCAGAAGTTGAGGGGGCTTCTTCTTCTTCTCTCCATTTAAGAAGAGACTGGACAGCCCACTTCTCTGGAATGGGCTAGGCTAGGGGTCTCCTGCTTGAGCAGGGGGTTGGACTAGAAGACCTCCAAGGTCCCTTCCAGCTCCGTTCCGACTGATTGACCGATCGATTGAATTTCAGTGGAGATTTTTAAGAAGAAATTGGACAGTCACTTGTCTGAAATGGTATAGGGCAGGGGTGGGGAACCTTGGCTCTTTTATGACTTGTCGACTTCAGTTCCCAGAATTCCTGAGCCATGATATAGGGTCTCCTTCGTGTGTGTGTGTGTGTGTGTGTGTGTGTGTGTGTGGTTTGTCTAGAAGACCTCCAAGGTCCCTTCCAGGTCTATTCTGATTGATTGATTGAATTTCAGTGGAGATTTTTAAGAAGAAACTGTCTGAAATGGTATAGGGCAGAGGTAGGCAACCTTGGCTCTTTTATGACTCGTGGACTTCAACTCCCAAAATTCCTGAGCCAGCCATGCTGTCTCAGGAATTCTGGGAGTTGAAGTCCACGAGTCATAAAAGAGCCAAGGTTGCCTACCCCTGGTATAGGGTCTCCTGCTTGAGCAGGGGGCTGGACTAGAAGACCTCCAAGGTCCCTTCCAACTCTTGTTATTCTGTATTCTGTATCTTCCCCCCCCCCGCGAAAGTTGGAGGAAGAGAGTAGAAAACTGGCTATAAAGAACTATACGGCCCAGTTGTGAGTATATATTAACGCGGGGGTCCCGTCGCTCGATTTTATAGTGAGTTTTTTTCCCCACCCCCTTTTTATTTTGCAGGAAGTACCACACGCACTTGCTCCAGTTTGACGGAGAAGGAGGCTGGCGTTTCGAACAGTTGGACGCCGCTATCCGCTTAACTCTGAGTGAGGAGAAGCAGAGACTTGAATCGCAACTGGCGGGGATGCCAAAAATGCAGCAAAGACTGAATGAACTTTGCAAAACCCTAGGGGAAGATTCTGTGTTTAAAACAGTGGATCAAGGAGAATAAACCCTTTAGGATTCTCCCCCTGCCCACAATTTTTTTTAAAGTATATATATGTATATGTTTTCTGAGGTTTTTGCGGGTGTTTGTATGTAGGTTTTTGGTTATTCGGGTTTTCTCCCGCGTAAAATTGGAAGTGTCTTGGCGACGTTTTGACGAAGTCCCATTCGTCATCTTCAGGCTGGTGTTTTCGGCTTCGTGCTTCTAGATGACGAATGGGACTTCGTTGAAATGTTGCCAAGACACTTCCAATTTTACGCGGGAGAAAACCCGAATAACCAAAGACCTACATACAAACACCCGCGAAAACCTCAGAAAACAAATATATATACACACACAACCTGCACTTTGTATTCTAAGATGCTATGAGTTACCTACAGGACTAATTTACATTTACAAGGTGGATTGCCCGGGTTTTAATGGCCTTTGAATGTGTTGGGCTTCACCTCTCGTAATCTGGTGCTATTGGGGGGATTCTGGGAGTTGAAATCCAACAGAATTGGCTAGAACAGTGATAGCGAACCTTTTAGAGATTGAGTGCCGAAAAACTTGCTCCGCCCCCACTCCACCCCCTGCCATGCCTCTGCTCCGCCCCCACCCCATCCCCCACCCTGCCTGCCTGTAAGGCCACTCACCGCCTCCAGGGCCCGCCGCAGATCGCCCAGGCAGCCCAGTAGCGCCATGGCGGCCACGCCCTCTGCCCGCACCCCATAGCATCAGCTGTGCGGGATGGGGCGTGAGGGCAGAGTCTTGTCTACGCTGCCTGGCTGCCATGTCTTTGGCTGCTCTGCTCCGTGTGGGCCACGCTTGGGGCCGACTCTCCTCCAGGAGGGCTGCTGTTGAGGGGGTCGTGGGGGGAGGCGAAGCTGGGGCAACGGTATGTGTGCCCACAGAAAGGGCTCCGAGTGCCGCCTCCGGCACGTGTGCCACAGATTCGCCACCACTGGGCTAGAAACTAGATGCTTCAGAAAAGGTGTCGTGTTGGGAAAGGAAGTACTACTGTAATGAATCTCAGTTTGTTGGTTTGCTGGGTGTGAAAACTGGGGTCTGGAAGCAGTGTGAAAAGCCCAATTTCGTAAAGGTGTTTTTTTGGACTTTTTTTTTTTTTTGTATTTCCTCGAAGACGTTCCTTTGAGATTTCATGGCAAAACGAAGAAAGTCCGCTTGCCTTTTTGAAAAGAAAGAAAAAAAGACTCCTTTGAGACAAGCTGGATGACTGGGAATTTCCACAGATGAAAATCCCAATGAAAAATCATACGTCCTTAACTTACGACAGTTTGTTTAGTGATCGAAGGTACGATGTCATTGAAAGAAGCGACTTAGGACTGTTTTTCACGTTTAACGACCGTTGCAGCATCCATGGTCGCGTGATCAAAATTCAGAAGCTAATACCTATCCTTATTTTACCCTAATTCCTTATTTCCTTCCCCTCCCTTTTACCTTTCTCTTTACCATACCTGTATTCTTCCTGTTTTTCCTTACCTATATAAATTTAATAAAATTTTGTTAAAAAAAAAATTCAGAAGCTTAGCAACTGACATGTACTTATGACGGTTGCTGTGTCCCAGGGTCATGTGATCCCCTTTTGCGACCTTTTGACATGTAAAGTCAATGGGGAAGCCGGATTCGCTTAACAGCCCTGTCACTAACTTAACAAATGCAGTGATTCATTTAACAACGGTGGCAAGGAAGAGCGGGGCAATAACTGTCTTGCTTGGTAATGGCAATTTTGGACTTTGATACTTTAAATTGGCACTGTATTATCGTATCTTGTTTTATTCCATGTCTGTAGAGGTTGATCTATGAGTCTGTTCCTTGCACTAAAGCTTTGTGGTGTTTGAAACATTGTTAATCCAAACAAAAACATCCTTGCCTGATCAAGCCAGGATTTAGAAAACAGTTAAGCCAGCTTGCAAATTTCATCTAAATAATCATAGATCCTATTGTAAGTTGAGCTTAAGGAGAACAGAATTTTGCCAATTTTGACAAGCTGAAAGACAGAACATTCATTAGTTGCAAACTTATTGTTTTTTTTTAATTAAACATATTTTCCTCCTGATCATCTGATGTTATTCAGGTTGTTACATGTACATGTTCTGAGACTTTTGAAAGTTGCTTTAAAGTATCATTCTATGTTACCGTTTAACATTGTCATTAAAATTAGTAAGAAATATATCTCATCCTAATCAAGCGATCAAATGGATTCAACAGGAGATGTAAGAGTTATCCCTAATTTGATGAAATGTGTGGAAGAATTGGAGTGCACGCCTTGATTAGCTTTACAAAATTAAATCAACCAATGTGACTTCACAATTAATAATTATATTTGTCTATAAAGGTTTAATTGTATCCACAAACTTGATTTAATATGCTCTTGACAAAGTGGCATGTTTGGAAGCAATAAATTTTGCATGCTATATTAAGGTTATAATTCTGCATTAAATAAATTAAATTATTTTACTTTGTCAAAGTTTCTTAGTTATTGGAAAAAACACAACATTAAAACATTTTGACAATGCTTGCTGGCATGACAATTGAAAGTTGTTGGCATATAAACTTGAAGCACATTGGATGCTTTCACTATTTGTTAAAATGAAGATAAGTAGCAGTGATACAAGTTATGGCCAGAGACAATCTTTAGTCAAAGAAAAACAATATATTTTTCTGAATAGTTCTTTTAGGTAACATCATCAGTGTTAGAGTTGCCTGTTGTTGCTTTCACATTGGCTCCCAACTATTCTAATTTATTCCATTCCACTATTCTATTCTATTCTAGTCTATTCTAGTCTAGTCTAGTCTAGGTCTAGTCCATTCCATTCCAATATTCTATTCTTTTCTGTTCTGTTCTATTCTACTCTACTCTACTCTGCATTCCATTCCATTCTATTCCATATTTTCTATTGTATTCTATTCTATTCCAAGGGTTTTCAAACTCGGCCCTTTTATGACTTGTGGACTTCAGTTGGCTGAGGAATTCTGGGAGTTGAAGTCCACTAGTCATAAAAGGGCCACTTTGAAGTATTCTATTCTATTCTATTCTATTCTATTCTATTCTATTCTATTCTATTCTATTCTATATTCCAATATCTATTCTATTCTATATTCCAATATCTATTCTATTCTATATTCCAATATCCTATTCTATTCTATTCTATTCTATTCTATTCTATTCTATTCTATTCTATTCTATTCTATTCTATTCTATTCTATTCTATTCTATTCTATTCGCAATGCCAGCCTGAGCCACTAGAGGGCTCTCACTGGCTCTCAAACGCTCGCAATAACAACCACAACAACAGGCTGCAACAGGGAGCAGTCGAGTTGCCAGGAAGAAGCAGGCAGCCATGATAGGGGCTGGGAGCGAATGCGGGGCACTGGCGGGCAAGGGGGAGAGGTGCTGATTCCCGACGAGCAATAACCAGCTTGTGTCTTCTCCACGCTTCCAGCGCTGTTTCTGAAGCTGTCGCTATTGTCGCGTGGCCGGCAGGCGCCATCAAGAGCAGAAACGGGAGACTTAAAAAAAAAAAACGGACCGGATGCGGGCTCGGCCGTGCTAGGAAGCTGCAATAGATCGGAAGAGCCAGGCAGCCATGTTAGGGGCTCTCGAGTGGAAACAGGCGGAGCGAAGCGAAGAGGCTCTCGCCTCGATCTCGTTTCTGTTCTGATCAGCCTTCGCCGCCAACATCACGAGGGAGCAGCCATGCCGGGAGGATAGTACAAAGCAGAAGTGTGGAGGACTGCAATAGAAGTAGAACAGGAAGGAGCGGATAGCTATGTTAGGGGGAGCCGAGTGGGAACCGGAAGAGTAGTGCGCGCAATCGTCCCACCACTCTCCTTTGGCTACGCTTAAGCGTATTAGCGCAGAGAACGGGTCGCTTTTGCATCCATGCCGCACTTCAGGGGTTATTTCTGGAGATTCTCCTCTGGGGTTTGTCTTCCCCGTAAATCTCCGGGAATATTTCCAGAATTTGGACTTTACATTATTTTACGTCCCCACCCCCGCACTGATACACAATTCGCACAACCACCAATTTGTGGACTGAGCTGCACCTGGAGGGATTAATTCAGAAAGCTCAGGGGTGAAACCTCATAGTAAAACGCCAAAGCCATATCGTGGCTTATAAGCTTTAACCAGGTTCCTTTATTCACCTGCAACGCAATTATTATTATTATTATTTGGGAAAGGGATCATTTCACTTCGCAGTCCTCGCCTTATGACCACAATGCAGCCGGAAATTTCCACCGCTAAGTGAGGCGGTTGTTAAATCAGCCTTGCCCCACTTTACGACCTTCCTGGACACAGTTGCGAAGCGAATCACGGCAGTTTTTAAATTAGTAACGTGCTTTTGAGGGGAATCTGGCCTCCCCGCTGACTTTGCTTGTCAAGGAGTGATCATGTGACCTGGGACACTGCAACCGTCATAAATGCGAGTCAGTTGCCAAGCATTTTAATTTTGATCACGTGACCGCGGGGATGTTGCGACAGTCATAAGTGTGGAAAAACGGCCATTAAGTGACTCTTTTGAGTGCTGTTGTAATTTTGAATGTTTGCTAAGCAAATGATTGTAAATTGTAAATTGTTCATGCCTCTGAACAAGGGGAGACTGTCCAAAACAACATATTTGTCATTAATTTATAGCCTGTTTTTTGTAAGTGAAAACAGTCAAAGTAATATGCAATAAATCATTGTAATTTGGTTCTGAACCTCACTCATTTCCTTTTTAAACCATCAGTACCAGCAACTCAAGCAATATAGATTTTGTCAATTTAATGCTTGTTTTATATGTTGTTGTTGTTTTTACCAAAAGATAGATTTTGGTAAAATTTCTTGTACCTAAAAATACTTATTTCAGTTCAGCACAAGTGTACTCTGAATTAGTCCCGATTCTGTGGCTCAGGAGTCAAAACTCCCAAGAAAAATAGAGTACATTCTTAATGTTTATTTTATTTTATTTTAAAAGATGCTATTGCAAATAGAGAGTGCTAGCTTTGGCATCCAAATACATTATGTGGTTTCTTCTATATTTCCTCCTCAGAAGATTTTTTTTTTCCCTATGGAAAGAAAAATGATGGAAGAAATGAGAAAAGCTGAGTGGTTTCCATATGAAGGAGGTGACATAAATGAATGAATAAATCCAT